CACCAGTTCATCAGTCTGCTTCTCTTATTTTTCTGCTTTCTTTAATTATAGCCAGTGGCGTAATGAGCAAAAACGTTTGGGGGGGGGGGCTGACAAAAAAAATCCTAATCACCCCACTCTAACATGTAGGCCCCGCTGAATTACGTTTCTCAAAGTGGCGTCTAGGGGCAAAGCCCCCGAAGCTCAAGGGGTATGGGCATCAGTGGCGGATCCAGGAATTTCTTACGGGGGGGGGCACAAAATGGCATGGGGGTGAAGTATATGTAAAACGATGAAGCAACAGAACGATGCTTTAACGGCGAGGGAGCGGAGCGACCAAGCAAGGGGTGGGTTTGGGAGGGGGTTCTGTCCCCCTCCCAGAGTAAGAAGCATTTGCAATTTTAGAACCAAATTAGACGCATTTTCAGACACTTCCTGGAGTAATATGACGTAAAATTGCTTTCTCCTACCCCTTCCAAGAGTAGGGATCTTTTGCAATTTGAGAACCACATTTGGCGCATTAATGTCCACCGGCACTTCATGGAAAAAAAAGAGGCCCTCTGATTGGTTAGAAGTTAGAGAAAAGTGATCTGTCACGTCGTGAGACGTCGTATAAATTATGCTTTGATGCAGCACAATGCACAAACACGGTGGTCCGGTACTTCACCAGTAGTACTTGCAAAAATTATCTCGAGTGTATAAACTGTGTCGTTATCAGGGGCGTCGCTAGATCTTTTTCAGTGGGGGAGGGGGGGGGTGTAGAGGCCGCCGATTACCGACAAAACGAGCCACCAGTATTATTACCGACAAATATAAAAATGCCTATGTCCAAATGTCTACAAATTTAACCCTTTAAACCCGGGGCCAGGAACTAAGTTATTTTTCAGTTTTCCCCTCTCGCGCGAAGCGCGAAAGCTTTGACACTTAATTAAATGATTAGAGAAAGAAGACGATCCGTTGTACTGTCCTCGACTCTCGAAGCTTGTTTCGCCCCTCCCGCGCAAAGCGCGGAAGCTATGACGTTTAATTTAATTATTAGAGAGAGAAGACGATTCATTGTACCGGTCCCGACTCTTCATCCTTGTCTGAATTAAGTCCCCCCCCCCCCCTCCCGCGCTAAGCGCGGAAGCTTTGACGTTTCAATACATTATTACTCTTAATCCTCGTCTGAATTCATTTCGCTCATCCCGCGCGAAGCGCTGAAGCTTTCACGTTTCATTAAATTATTAGAGAAAGAAGACGGTTCGTTGTATCGTGTTCTTGTCTGAATTCAGTTTCCCCCCTCCCGCGCGAAGCGCGGAAGCCTTGACACTACATTAAACTATTAGAGAAAGAAGACGATCCGTTGTACCGTTCTCGATTCTTAATTCTTGTTTCGCCCCTCCCGCACGAAGCACGGAAGCTATGACGTTTCATTTAATTATTAGAGAAAGAAGACGATTTATTGTACCGGTCTCGACTCTTAACCCTTGTCTGAATTCACTTTCGCCCATCCTGCGCGAAACGCGGAAGTTTTCAAGTTTCATTAAATTATTAGAGAAAGAAGACGAATCATTCATTTTCATTGTCCTGTTGACCGTTCTCGACTCGCTTTGACGTTTCAATAAATTAAATACTATTAATCCTTGTCTGAATTCATTTTCGCCCATCCCGCGCGAAACGCGGAAGCTTTCAAGTTTCATTAAATTATTAGAGAAAGAAGACGAATCTTTTTATTGTGTCTTTGTCTGAATTCAGTTCCCTCCTTCCACGCGAAGCGCGGAAGCTTTCACGTTTCATTAAATTTATAGAGAAAGAAGACGATTCATTCATTTTCATTGTACCGTTGAACCGTTCTCGACTCTTTATCCTTGTCTGAATTCTGTCCCCCACCCCCTTTCGCGCAAAGCGCGGAAGCTTCGACGTTTCAATAAATTAATACTATCAGTCCTTGTCTGAATTAATTTTCGCCCATCCCGCGCGAAACGCGGAAGCTTTCAAGTTTCATTAAATTATTAGAGAAAGAAGACGAATCGTTTTATTGTGTCTTTGTCTGAATTCGGTTCCCCCTCCCACACCAAGCGCGGAAGCTTTGTCGTTTCATTTAATTATTACTCTTAATCCTTGTCTGAAATCATTTTCGCGTTTCATTAATTATTAGAGAAAGATTAAGACGATTCGTTGTACCGTTCTCGACTTTTAATCGTAGTCTGAAATTAGTCCCCCCCCCCCCCCCCCCCCTCCCGCGCGAAGCGCGGAAGCTTTGCCGTTTCATTAAATTATTAGAGAAAGAAGACGATTCGTTGTACCGTTCTCTACTCTTAATCTTGTCTGAATTCAATTCCCCCACTGGGCCCCTTAACGGTATATGTGCAGTGTTACATGATGTAAGTATGGAACGCTTGTTCGTAAATCTGTGAATGCTCAGCCCGAGTGGTGGGTAGCATGTTATCTCCCGACAGTGCTTTGTACAGTAGCTTCTGGAAAGGAATTAGTGTTACTGTTAGTGGCCACTATAAGGCCCTTAGTGACTATAAAAAACATATGCTCTATTCCTGGCTATTAGTGGGAATGGGTCAGTTTGCAAGAAATAATGGAGAAACTATAGCATTTTGTTGAAAATCATATGATATCACGAACATTTATACATTACTTGTGAAAATAAGTCATGGTTCAATTTCATTTGGGGGGCTGGCGCCCTTCCAAGCCCCCCCCCCCCCCCCCCCCACCAGTACGCCAGTGGTTATAGCAGTTTGTTGCTTGGATTTTCCTTTAACCGTACTTAAACATAAAGTTGAGTTCTGGTCACGCGATTACTTTGTGAAAGAAACGGTGTGGAATCTATCAGAAAAAAGGTTTATCATGTAGCATATAGTATTCTATATAGCATATTGCATTCACTGGGTAAAAATTAGTAGTGGCATGAGCAGTGTAGTAGTAATAGTAGTAGCAGCAGCAGATGAAGTAGTAGCAGTAGTATTAGTAGCAGCAGTAGTAGTAGTAGTATTAGTAGCACTTCTAGGAGTAGTGGTAGTAGTAGTAGAAATAGTAGTAGTAATAGCGGCAGCAGCAAAAGTAGTGGAAGTAGTAGTAGTAGTAGTAGTAGTAATAGTAGTATAGTAGTAGTAGTAGCAAAATTAGTAGTAGTAGCAGTAGTAGTATTAGTAGTAGTAGTTGTTGTTGTAGTAGTAGTAGTAGTAGTAGCAGCAGTAGTAGTAGTAGTAGTAGTAGTAGTAGCAGTCGTAGTAGTAGTAGTTGTTGTTGTTGTAGTGGTGGTGGTGGTGGTGGTGGTGGTGGTAGTAGTAGTAGTAGTAGTAGTAGTAGTAGTAGTATTATTAGTAGTAGTAGTAGTAGTAGTATCAGTAGTAGTAGTAGCAGTAGTAGCAGTAGTAGTAGTAGTAGGCCTAGTAGTAGTAGTAGTAGTAGTAGTAGTAGTAGTAGTAGTAGTAGTAGTAGCAGTATTCGTAGAAGTAGTGGTATAGTTTTCTTAGTAGTGAATGTCAAAGGAAGACAATAAATAACTTACCCAAGCGATGTTCACTTCCTTGCTTTTATGACCTCTCCGTATTTGTATTCCTCTGAATCTACCAATGCACAACTCACAGGTTTTTCCTGGCTACAAGGCAACGTGAAAAGAAAATCCCCTATATGTTAGGTGGGTTTTCCCAGACCGTCTCCCTAAACGAGAATACTCAATATTGGCTACTCGAGCGGTAGCGCTTCTTCAAAGTTCACTGAAACGTGTTTACCAACAAGTGCATATCTTGTAAACAAACAACAAAATCATGTCCAGAATAAGTCTCAAAGGTATTATATTATCCAGGATGAGTATCGATGGTGTTATTTTTTCCAGAAGAAGTCTCGATCGTATCGTTGTCGGCCTGAGATTTTTTAATATGAATAGAGCAGTATAGTACACAAGCAGCGTACACGGAGTGACAGATATGTAACACACGGTTAGCTAGCTATCATAACGAGATAGACTTTGGACTTTCTTTTTCAATGTCGTTGGCGTATTTATTGAATTTGCGTGCCGAACCGAGTGCATCAATACGCTATTCAATTTTGTTGTTGTGGTAATATATTCCTGTGATTATTATGAAGTATATTATATGGAGGGACAGCCCCATCGGTTTCCCCAAATGATGCTGCAAAACGAAAGTATGGTATAGAACGGGGGTTGAACTTTCATGTGTATTACCAGGGGCGGCGATCCCCAGGGGACGGGGGACACGTCCACGGTCCACCCCCTCAATTTTTTAAGGGGTCGGTCCGCCCCCCAGGAAACTTTGAAAAAGTGGCCAAAAAAAATGTAGGCCTATAGCAAATACTGACTAAAGGCTGCATTACACTTTTAGGCTCTTGAGGGCCCAAGAGTGCAGCCTCCAGGCTAATAAAAAATCTTCTCGCTCGGTAAACTTAAATAATTTAGAAAATCTGTATTACGTTTGTATCACATACGCACAGTTTACACTGTATGCTTACAAGATTAAGTCACTTCCGTCACCTTGGCCCCTCTCGTTTACTATGCTCCCTTGTCCCTCGCATTTCGCCCCCCCCCCCCCTGGTCATGAAAAGAAATCGCCGCCCCTGTGTATTACATACAAAATAGTTAAAGCCCCTCTAAAGTGTTGGAAGCCCCCAAAATCTGATGGCAAAATGTCAATTAAATTGTATCCTAATGTAAAAAAAGGATGTCATTTCTGCAAGGATTTTCTAAACATGTGTGTTTGAACTTTGAAGTCGAATATTAATGAGGAATAACAACAAAATTAGGTTTCGGCGTCCAACAGAAAAACCAAATTATGTATTCTTTTATCAATACATGCATATGTTTTCAAGCCCCCTTTTTTTTTTTCTTTTTTTTTTTTTTTGTTGTTGTTTGGGGGGGGGGGGATCTTTGCAAAAGTGTGTCTTAAACGACATTTTCCTTCACATTATGATACAACTTTAGCGAAATTTTGCCATTAATTTTTTTTTTGCGAATTTGGGGCTCCCAACACTAAAAGGGGCTTCAACGATTTGGATGGTATGAATTTCTTAAAAATAATGTGAATGAACTCTATTCAATTTGTTTTCATAGAACACGCCCGGAGAGTTTTAAGTACAACTTAATGCCTAGTTCACATTTAACCCGGACATCAGGTCTAATTTTTCTTTTTCCTTTTTGCCCCCGGAAATCTGAGAATCGCGCCGGCCGATAGTTCGCTCACACCCCCCCCCTCCCCCCCCCCTCCCCTCGTGAGCTAAAAAAGAGGTAAATTTCTGGTCACCAATTTTTTTATGTTGTTTTTTGGGGCCGGGGGGGGGGGCAAGGCCCGCTCGTCCCCCCTATGGTTCCGCACCTGCAGGCCAATGTATCCGATTTACAAAACAAACTAACAAACATACAATCAAAAGAATCATGAACGATGATAAATCTCATTGTATGCAAGTCTAGTAGTTGAGATGACTTTGATATTTCGGTACATGATTGCTAATGTAAACAAAATTCATGCAACTATGTAATAGAACATTATAAATATCAAAGCATTTCATTGTTTCAGGCGCGGATCTACGGGGGGGGCGACGGGTACGTCTCCCCCCTAGCAAAAAAAACTGGTAAAAAAAATAGATGTTAACGATAATTTTACCTTTTTTTTAAACAAAAAAACTAAAATGCCCCCCCCCCTTCCCCTGGCAAAAAATAAAAAATAAAAAAGGCTGGATCCGCCCCTGGAGGGTAGGGCCATAAGTATTATTAAACTGAACAATAATCGGATTTAGGGGACGGCGGAAGGCAAGGCAGGTATTCTTATTTCTAAGTGCCCCACACACCTTCTTGATAGTATAGGGAGCCAATGGAGGGCGCTTCACACCTACGATTCTGATCCTGATTCTATGCTCTTTAGTCCATTTAATTGTATTGATTCCCACTGTCACAAAAGACCTATTCTCATTTTCTTATCTAGGAGTATAGTCCTTTACAAACTCTTGGATTACTCGCTGAATTAAAGAGAGGTTCTTCACATTCGGCAAGGGTGTCGTGGGAGGGGGGCAACAGTGGACACCTCTCCGGCTTTACTTCCTATTTATAAGCAGATTCTATATGAAACATAGTAATGGAACGAAGAGACCAATATTTTAGTCAGTCAACAAACAATATTGTTATCTTTGATACTACTGGTTTAACAATATAGTCTTCATAAGGCCTAACCATTTTCTTCGCCTTTTAAATGTCATGAAAATAGGCTGCATTGTCTGATATCTCGTTCAGAAGGCTTACATTTTCTATCCGTCCCTTTTAAGTCATTTTCGTCCCCCCCCCCCCTCCTCTCTCTCTCTCTTCTTGTCCCTCCTCTATTCTCATTTTGCTCTTCTAGCTCATCCCATCTTTCTCCACTTTTCTCTATCATCTCGACCATCCTTTCTCCCTTGACCTTTCTTGCCTCCTCTCTCTCTCTCTCTCTCTCTCTCTCTTGCTCCCTCTCCCTCTCATCCTTCTTCTTCTTCTTCTTCTTCTTCTTCTTCTCTTTTCTTCTTCTTCTTCTTCTTCTTCTTCTTCTTCTTCTCTTCTTCTTCTTTCTTCTTCTTCTTCTTCTTCTTCTTCTTTCTTCTTCTTCTTCTTCTTCTTCTTCCTTCTTCTTCTTCTTCTTCGTCGTCTTCTTCTTCTTCTTCTTCTTCTTCTTCTTCTTCTTCTTCGTCGTCTTCTTCTTTTCTCTATCTTTTTCTGACTTGTATGGCTCCTAATGTTTTTCTGGATACGAGGCAAGTTCTAACTGTAGGAGACAAATGAGTCATTGTTGTAAACGATTAGTCCCAACATTTTTATAACATTTCAAATCTCTGTTGGATAGCAAAGCACATACAAATATTGGAACTGTTAAGTGTAACAAAAGTCATACATGATACATCTATTTTTGTTATTGTTGAAAATTCAATAACGATGAACATGTATGTAGCTGCTGCTGGTATTGAATATATACAATATCAATGTAAAAGGCTGACCCAACACAACAAATCTACCACAATGAAAAGAAGATAATATCGGACTTGTTTTTTTTTTCTCATACATAACCCGACAGTAAGTATAATGACGACGATGATGATGAAATTGATGATGCAAAGTGACAATGATTATGGATAAATAGGCATCTATGAAAAAGATAGATGAAAAAATTGGTACGTAATTCAATGCATTACCAAGAACAACGATGTGCTGACAAATATTAACATTTATAGTAACAAATTTAGAAATAAGCTCACTCATCACAGTCATTGATCAGCTGTAAAATCAAGTTGGAAACCCCTAATTAAAGCAAAATATATTATTAAAAGTGAAAAGGAGATTTTAAGGCAATCGATATCATGTTAATATAATTTATATAAATCCATTCTTTTCTTTTCTTAGAAATCATGATATAAAACTGAAGCTTTACAGGCCTATACTTTCAATTTATAGGCATGGCTTGGTGATTTGTTAAAAAAAACAGTAACATATTTGGTTAAAGTAACTCACATTCAAAAGCTCAAAACGATTATTATCTAAACCTAATCAGATTAAAACAGAGAGATATAGATGAGTAATTTACTATACATGAAAGAGTAGGCCAGATTGTGATTTTATGATCATAATGATTCTCTCTTTATATACATTCAATCACGTTTCTATAATCCAATGAAGATTATTAGAAAACATGTTTGTCACTGAGAGAAGATAGAACTAGGTAAATCAATTATATTTTATAAAAGAACTAAGTGTACATCAAAATGAAAGAAATGATTCACAGAAAGTTAATTTAGCCAAGCTAAGTTAAGAACATATTACTAAGAATATCATAACACCTACGCTTTTCATAATGTAAGAAGATTAACGGTTACGTTCATAAAGTATATATTGATGACATAGCGCACTATATAATATTCTATGGCAGTAGATTTCATGGGCCGTGGAACCGCGGGGAGGGGGAGAATTGCGGGGCTGCGGCGCCTGCCCCTTTTCAGTATATTCCACATTTTCTTTTTACAATTATTTTACTGTAGCATGCTTGAGAATGCATTGCTTCAGTATTCCAAAAGTGAAAATCTTCTGCTCGGTCGCTGCGTTCCAATATACAACAAAATAATTTGTTAAAGTGTGTTGGTATAATGCAAAGTTTGATCTTCCGCATTTAGTTTATATAAGTTCCCTTGATAGTTGCGCGCTACCCCCCCCCCCCCCAAAAATAACTATAGGAAGCCAACAATACGAAAGAACTATCGCAACCCTTGGTAGCATTCGTGGAAGGAAATGAGAGATACATTAAAGGGATAGTTTAGTTTTGGTATAGAGAGTACAGTTTTGAACATACTGAATTTTAGTAGCCAAAACCTGCACCATCACATTACAAACTAATAATTATAACTGCACCATGGTCGAAAGGTATACAAAAATTACAAATGAATTAGTAATATCTGCTATTACCTGTAATCGCATGTTAACAATTAAATAGAGTTTTGACGGCATTCTCAAAAAAGCCATTGGTTTCAACAATTTTTAATAATAAAATTGTGCATGTTATGTTTTGTTAAAATAATGATTAAATAGAGAGTTCATCATCCACTATTAAAAAACATCTGTTTAAAAAGTGTAAGCATTTTGTTGTCTTTCAACAGCTGGTTCAAAATTATTATGTGGGGCCCACAAAATCTTAGAAATGTATATTTTAGCCGTCTCTGGACCGATTTTGATAAAACAAAGATGATTAGGTCATTTAAAAAGTATGCTCTTTCAAATTTGACACTTTGATACTGATCACTCACCTAGGTCGGTGGTACTGATACGTAAAGCTTACATCGAATAAAATCCTTGACGCTATATTCAATGAGAAGATTTTCTCACTTAATTTTATAATTATATTCAAACAGAATTAATATAATCAGTTTTTTTTTCTCACTTGAATGAGACTCGAAATCTAGTTCATGTTTTGTTTTGCTTCAAATCTAGTTCATATCGTGTTTTTTGCTTCAAATACAGTTTATATAGTTACAACATCATGCATCGCATAATCCACTGTATTTCGTGACAATTTTTTACATAATACACAGCCATTACGGTTATGACAAAGAATTTTCTAACAGAAATTTACCAAAGATGGAACTGGAAGATTCGCTTTTGTTGTGAGGAATGTTTGAAATCATCCTTTCGGATGTGACCCACTTGTGATTTAAAATTCGTCAGCATATCTAGCCCAGCATTAGGAATATCATTACAGCTCTTGGTTTTAAAAGCGTCTAACTGATCAAATGAAAAGCCAAGTGAAAGTCCTAGTCTCTGATATGAATTAGAGCTGAGTTGCCGAGACAGCTTATACAATTCAATGTCCTGGACATCATTTCCAGGACTTGGTTCGGTGTTCCGTGGTAATGTCGTGTTTGACCAAGACTAACTTCTGGTCGGGTGGTTGGTTCGTCTGAACGAAGTGACCTCGGTGGATTGCTGTATGTAAATATATAAATGAAAATAATGGTGGTCATAATTATAGCTACATGTTTTATATCGCGCGGGATGTTAATGCGCTTACAAAGTACTAGATTATATCACCCTCGTTTTAGCCCAGCTGCCCTAAGACGCTGGAAGCATTCAAGGAATAAATTCCTACCAGGTACCCATTTCCTGCAAATGGGTTGAGGGTGGCAAATGTAAATCGATGTCTTACTAAAGGATTGTGTGGGGGGACTCGAACCTCGAACCATGCGATCCATAGTTCACATCCGGTAACGTATACACTAGACCACGACACCTCTGATTTCATGTATTCATTGAGGCAAGCAACCTAAAGATCGCACTTTCAGTATAATAGGTAGCTTAGCAACGCCTTTATTATTGCTCGTGTAACATGTGTAATGAATAGTAGGCCTCCGGTTTTTCTAACTTCTCCCTAAAACCGGTCCATATATTTTCCTTGATTTTTTCCTACACCTCGTTGAATTATTTTCCCTTCCATTTCTAGACAATAAAATCTCTTTGATTCATGCAAATACATAATCGCCACTCTATATAGGCCATGAAGGTTGTCCCATTTTACAAGGGTATTTAAACCGAACTGTCCAAATCAGTCACTAAAATAGTTTCGGAAAAATGAGGGAAAGTAATACTGCTCGCAGTCGCAGAAGCTGTAGCAGCAACACATGTTCAAGATATTCGATTAATACATTGGCATTGTGAAAGCTGGTTTTTCCATCAAATGAATATCATAATGCTCTCGTGTATCCATTTCACACAAAAAAAAAACTTTTCGGAGTAAAGAAAAAGTTATATAAGTGCTTTCAATTTTTGGCTGTCGAATTCCAATACAAATTTTTATTATAGTCAAATGACTTTCAAATGACATTACTTGGTCATCAATGAGGATTTTCCCTTTTGGTTTTAGTGCAACTCTCAACCATCGGCGTCTGTTTGGAGCGAGAAGGGCGTTAGCTTGGTGTTAACCAAATATGATTCTATTTAGTTAAGACCCTTCCGGCTCCTAACAGATAATTTGGGCAGAGTTGATCGGCAAAATGAATTGCCTCTAGCAACGATCAAGCTACAAATACAATCTGAAGTATATATCAATAAAGATCCAGAAGCAACGTACCGGAAGATATACATATAGAAATATTTACAAATAGTGGAAATGGAACGTAGCATTATTAACTTACTTGGGTTGACTGAAGTTCGATGCGCTGGGCATGCAAGATTGAGATGAAAAATCAGGCGGGGGCCAGAAAAGGATTTTAGTCTTTGCCCTTGAAACAACAAACAAAAAAGAGACACTTTTAAAGTATAAAAATAATTATCTTCATTGATGAAAAAGAAAAGTTAGAAACATTGACCCTAACGTGTTTACCCCTATAACTTTCAGAATAGGACGGTGTGTTGGTGCCTGAACCAAAAAACCATTACAGTGAACTGCGTCTATTTCACCTATTCCTGTCTCTGATAAAAAGGTAAGAGGATGGAAGGGGGTGTTGTTGGGAATGCGGACACTATCTTTTCATTATTGATAACTTTTTCACCCTAACTCTACCCACAACTGACCATCTCAATATCAATTATCATTTTCCACGTTATATGAACTATGAGGAGACTTCAAACTATCGAAGTGTATAGGAATGCGAGAACTTACCATGTCGTACCTTCGAAGCTAGAGCTTTCAGTCCAGCGTTTTCCAATGCATTTGCTAAATTTTCCCTTTGTTCATGATTCAAGAATCTCTTCTTCCAATCTACCAGCATCTTATAAACACCATGGCAACCTCCTCCAGTGTTTTCTCTTCTGTATCTACTCAATGCAGGAGCATTAAATCCCAAGTAATGTCCAAGTCTCTGGAAGTCGTTATCTGGACAGATCAGATCGGCTAGGTCTACACATTCGAGATCTGTAAACTCAGTTCGAACTACTGTAGGGTCAAGAGAAATAGAAAAAAGTGAGAGAGGTCACGTGGTGGAGAGAGAGGGGAGAGAGAGAGAGAGAGAGAGAAAGAGTGAGAGTGAGAGAGAGAGTGTGGAGAGAGAGAGAGAGGGGGGGGGGGGGTGTCGAGAGGTTATAATTATGAAGAGCAAGATAATAGAGGCAGAACAAACAGACGCCGAGAAGGAAAAATACATTTAAAATTGCTCATAATTTGTAAAGTAATAATCCTACATAGTATTAATAGCGATCTTTTAAAACGTTTTTTCCATGTTAAAACACAACCGCAACAAAGTTTTATGCATATTGATGCTCGGTCTCATACTATTGAAACAATTATTGAAAGGAGATGTAGCAATCTTGGCATTACTCCTTAATTTATTAATCTGTTTTTAATCGCAAGAATAAACAGAAAGCCAACACTATCCCGTTATCTTTCGCGGGCGTTGTTCATTTAGCTACTGTTTACATATATTTTAAGTTCGTTCATCATGTTCATGTTTTCATTGAATAAAAATGATACTTCTAGTATCGGTATAGGATATATAGGATATATTGTGGTATTACCTGTTAAAGCTTGGTTTGTTGGATTGGTTTGAGTCGCCCCTTCATCTGTTCTTAGAGTCATGGGACGACTAATCTGTTCTCCTGAATCTGCCATATCTTCTGTTAATGTTAATAAAAAATGAGATGGATTCCAAAACTTATTTCTTTGACAAAGAAATCGAGATTCACTATTCTTTGTTAGCTTTTATTACATCATCAAAATCATACTGAACCTATAAACATGGTAAACTTTACAGGTTTTCTTTCATTCTCCATTGTCCTTTCCTTTCCTCTTTTTTTCCTTTCTTGGTATGGGCTGTCGCTACTTCCAGCACAACGTTATGGTACCAAAAATTAGGATTCAGGATTAATGTACCTTGATGTTATCATGTAAATTAATCTTAGCGGCTACGAATCATGTCTGAATGAAAAGCTTCGTTTTTTAAATGAAATTAGAGGACATGATAAGTCACCTGCTAAGCAACAACAACAACAAAAAAAATTGAATAGTGGGGTAGCACGTGTGTCTCGGATATTGAGGTATATGGAGTCATAGACGCCGGAAGTGGGGGGGGGGGGCAGGGGGGGCAGGGGGGGCAGTTGCCCCCCCCCCCCCCAGTCCAAAAAGTGGGAGGGGGCAAAACGCATTTTTGCACCAAAAAAACGCCCCCCCCCCCTCCAAAAAAAAAAAAAAACAGTAAAGGAGTAAACATGGTTTGTATTTTTAATCCAAAAGAACGTAACAATAATAAAAACCTGAATTAAATACATATACAATTCCATTCAAAGAAAAAGGAAAGTTCACAGGAATTAAATTTTATAAACATTGCGCATGCCACCTATACGGTATTTATCAATGGAGGTCTCTATAGTAGCGATACGCGCATATAGTGGAGATATTGTGCGAGAATGGGAAAGCGTGTCCGTTTTTGTTTGTTATAGGGGTGAGAAGACATGAGCCCCTGAACGCTGGCGTACTGATGGGGGGGGGGGTGATGTATTTCTTATTCGAAACAAGTGATTTACAAATGTTGATGTTGTGACATGATTTTCCGGCATTTTTCTCCATTTTTTGTGTAAGTCATACCTTTTTATGCGTTTGTTGGAAAATAAGAAATTCCCAAATTACAGTCAGGCGAAATACGCTTATTTAGAAGCCTTTATGTCATGGTGCATAGTGGCTGGGCTTGAGCTCCCCCCCCCCCCCCCCCCCCCCCTCCTTTTTGAAAAAGTTTTTTAAAAGAAAAAGAAAGAAAGACGGAGAAAAAAAATAAGTGACCTGCCAATATCACAATAAGGTATAAAAAATGCTCATCTGACCGTAATTAAATGCTTAAAACCCCAGAGCTTACGGGGGCTCCGCCCCCGAACCCCACCAAGGGACCTAAGGCGGGCCCCTGGATGCTCATCTGACCGTAATTAAATACCTAAAACCCCCGAGCTTCCAGGGGCTCTGCCCCCTGGATCCCAACAAGGGCTCTAAGGCGGGCCCCTGGATGCTCATCTGACCGTAATTAAATACCTAAAACCCCTGAGCTTCCGGAAGCTCTGCCCCCTGGAACCCCACCAAGGGCTCTAAGGCGGGCCCCTGGATGCTCATCTGACCGTAATTAAATACTAAAACCCTGAGCTTCCGGGGCTTTGCCCCCTGGACCCCACCAAGGGCCCTAAAGCGGGCCCCTGGATGCTCATCTGACCGTAATTAAATACCTAAAACCTCTGAGCTTCCGGGGCTCTGCCCCCTGGACCACACCAAGGGCCCTAAGCGGCCCCTGGATGCTCTCATCTGACCGTAGTTAAATATTAAAACCTCTGAGCTTCTGGGGGCTCTCCCCCCCCCCCTTGGAACACGTCAATTGCCTTACAGAGGGCCCCTGGATGCTCATCTAACCGTAATTAAATACCTAAAACCTCTGAGCTTCCGGGGGCTCAGCCCCTTGACCCCCTGCCGAGGCTCATGCCCTGGACCCCACGCCAATTTACTCTCTACCTGATCGATAATACTCCACTTTGAAAAACGTTCCGCGGGACCTGTATGTAACGTGTAAGACTGGTGGTGATGCAGATTTTTCGTCTCCCCCCCCCCCTTCCGAACTTTTTTTCTCATTACGTCACTGCCCCTGGAATGTGAGCCCCCTGGAATGTGAGCCCCCCCCCCCCCCCATCCCAAACTGCTTCCGGCGCGCCTGTATGGAGTGCTTTAATTACCTCTATTGTTCAAGAGGCCGCGGGGGGTAAATGATTAAAAAACAAAACATATATAAATATCTTTGAGAAACAAATTATTGTCCATTAAACCTCTATAAATTTACAATACATGTAAGAATGGGCAATTATATAAATATTCATAATTACATGTACATTGATGTATTGAAACACATTGAAACAGAAATATTTTCAAATCCTTGAACTTGCTTCTCGAAATCAGTCACACAAAAATCTTGCAAAATAACGCCCTCTTATTTCGATCATTATCATGTACTATTTTCATTTCAAATGAAAGACGAAATTACTTCCATATCTTCTTGATATTATAAACATTTAAAAATCGATTATATTAAGCTAATAATAGAAAAACAGAAATTTACTATGAATCTAAATCTTCATCTGAGAGAACGATGCTAAACATGAATTCACCTTGGTAACTGGTAGATCCATCACAGTCCTCCTCTTGATCCTGGACGAGTTCCAATACATGATTATGAATGTCTCCAACATGGACATTTTCTACCTTTCCAATATGGAGTGTCTCAACCTGTTTTAATATAGTCAATGTGTGTGATTCCTCGTCATACACACAACTCGATGATACCTCATTCGTAGAGCTCCCATGGTAGACTTGCATCGCTCGTCCTTGGCTAGGTTCGGAATCCTGACGTGGACCCTGCATCGGACCACAGTCCAAAGGTTTGTAGGGCAGGTCAAAATGAATCCAAGATGTTCGTTCCTCATGAACCTCCTTCCTTGCTCCTGGATCTGTCCCTCCACCTGAGTATGAAGGATAGAGATCAGTCATTAGTAGGGAGATCAGTCATTAGTAGGGGTCCTTTCATTCTATAATATGGACAGTCTTAATTATGCAAAGGAGGCTTACAAAACACCTGAAGATGGGTTGATCTTTGCAGGCGCGAATCCAGGAATTTTGGAGGGGGAGGGGGGCAATGAAAGACGGACAGAAGACAGGGGTGTCTGAGATGGATGTGACCCCCCCCCCCCCCCCCTAGCTGAAGGAAATTTCAATTCACCCAGATTTGCATTATATTAGCTTTATTATTTCTCCACAGTTGAAAAGAAAATTTGAATCGTGGCTGAATTTGGATTTTTCAAAATTGCATTTCATTTGACCGGTCCATTAGACTCAAGTTGAAATTTATACTCAAAACGCAACGGTACATGCGAGGTACACTGTTTTTTTTGCTTGCCGATAATTATATCGAATATGTTCAGCCCCGGCTGAAAGGTAGGGTCTTTGGGTAGGTTGCGTACGCCAATGGATGATGGGCAGCGCAGTACAAATACTCTCACCCATACCTAGGATCTTTGTAAACGTTTGTTTTTCCCGTTTTCTGTTTCTTTTTTTTTTAGTCGACAAAAGGCTGGGGCACGGGCCGGCTGTGACCCCGCCTGAATCCGTGCCTGTGTTATAAAAGCTTGACACCCAAAACACGTTTTGTAAAACATACTTATCTCCATCTTTACAAAAAAATACTAATTTTTCTTTTGAACGTAAAACTTTCTTTTCGTCAAAAGATAATTATATGGGATTTGTTCGGTCAAATTTCTATATTTTAGATGAGAGATAGACTTTATATTCTTAATCGGAATTTGCTCAAACTTTCGTTGACCTCCCTCTTATTTGTCTTCTTCTATCAAAACCTATTTTATATAGGATCAATTGGCTAGTGTTTTTCAAAAACTTTCCATCTCTCTATCGATCTAGAGACAATTCCTAAATTGTGGAAAATGTCAACTGTTGTACCACTTCCTAAAGTAAAAAAAACATTATGAATGACTTTCTTCCTATGGCCCTAACTTGTAGTTTTATGAAATGTCTTGAGAAAATTGTACTGAAATGTTAAATGCTAAATCAAGTCTCCATCTTCTTAGATCCAATGCAATTTGTTTACAGGAAAAATAGGGGCGTAGAAGATGCAGTTTTGATACGCTTGCACAAACTGTATTCCCATTTAGACACAATGAAAACGTACACCAAATCAATTTTCATGGATTTCTCTAGCGCATTTAATACCTTGATAGTTGATACCGCACCTGCTTACTAGGAAGTTAAGTAATTAAACGTAACCCCCAACTTTCTGTTGTGTAGATGTCAGCAGCTGAAAATAGGAAAGCTAGTCTCATGTGTTCGTTCCATCAGTACTGGTGTATCCCAGGTACGCGTATTATCCCCGGTGCTCTTTTCCATTTACACCAATGATTGCGTGACCACTGACGACAATTGCTCTATGATTAAATACGTCGATGATATTATGGTGATTACAGGGTATATTTCAGATGATAATACTGAATGTTATTTTTCACTGATCTAACAGTTTGATGAGTGGTGTGACAGTCACCACTTACAATATTAACTGTGGCAAAAACGAAGTAATCATAATTTATTTTCGTAAGAGAACTGTAGTGGAGCATGCACCCCTTTGTATTCACGATTCCGTAGTCGAGCAGGTTAGTGAGTATAAATAATTTGGCACTACTAATATCAAGTAAATTGGACTGGTCACAAAATATCAACATTATTTAGAAGAAAGCAAATCAAAGGCTCTATTTCCTTAGACAACTTAATAAACTACACAAAGACAAGACATTTCTAACTTGTTCTGTTCTATAAATCAATCATTCAGTCTATCTTGACATTCAATCTTATGTTACTTTGGTAATGGAATAATAGAACACGTTAGCAAAAAGAAAACTGAAAGAATAAGGAAAATTGCTCAGCGGATCATCAGTTTGGAATTGCCCAGTTTAGAGAAGATATAATGTTGATCGTACATTACTGAAGGTAACACGTATTATGAAAGACCGAATACATCCTTTGTCCATAATTATAATTATAACCGATCAGGAATTCGCCTCTGTGTTCCCCGCACTAGGGGGGGGGGGGGGCGCTTCAGACGTTCATTTGTGCCGGATTCGGTTCATATTTACAACAATAGAGTAAAACGAGGGCGAGTATTGCAAACATTACTATTGTATTGCTTTCCTCCATTTTCTACGTAGCAATCATCATGCTTATCTGATACAGACTATTTCCGTGTTCCCTATTTACGTTTGAATTTGTGAGGTTTTTGGATGTGGGACGTCGCTCTATGTATTGTTGGATGTATCAAAGCAATTGTTGTTATGTTGTTATTATGTTTTATAATCTGTATAATTGTGTACATTGCTTGTAATACCAGTGAGCAACTAATTTCCGTTTTTTAGTGGACAATAAATCAATTCAATTCAAAAACCTTTGGCACACTATGGCCCTTATTTCCAAACATTTTGAGCATATAAAACCGACGATTAGTTCATGTTTTTGTTCAAAATAATCAGAAGGTAGTCTGCGCTCTAAGTTTTCCCTTTGTTAAACAGTGATTTTAGACCCAGTGTCGGGTTTAACTGAATTTGTGATATGCGGTCCAATATGATTTGCTGGGTCTACATTCCCGTCTTTTGAAGCTTATTTTTAGGTGATCTCCAGCGTAGCGTAGCAGAGCAACTATTGATTTCGTCAGAATCTATCTTTTTTGTTTTCCTTTCTTTCTGTATGGATTTTGTTCGCTTCGTATCTCATGAATGACATGGTTAATGACAATGTCAATGACATTTTTCATGACATTGGCTATAATTATGCATGATTTTTTCCCCCCTTTTCTGTCTTTTTTGTTTTGTTTTGTTAGCGCCAAAAAGGGGGGGGGGACACGGGCCGGCTGTGCCCCGTGCCTGAACCCGCGCCTGTGTAAAGATATCATAATTTCGGGAGAGGGGGTTCTTCATAAGTGCCTTCTTCCTTGGGACACTGCTCAAAATATATTATGAATCGCATAATATATTAGAGGTCCTCATGATAAAGAAAAAACCCTCCTGAGTTATGCATTTTGAAAAGTTTACATTTTAATCATTTCGTATGATGGAACGAATTGGAAATTAGTCCGGCACTAAGTCACAGTAACACTGTCGATCAGCCAATTTGAAGTTCTCATATGTATAGTGCAGGGGCGTACGCAGGGGGGGGGGGGTTGGGGGTTTAAAACCCCCCCCTTTGCTTTTTATGTGTGTAACCCCCCTAAAAAAACCTAACCCCCCCCCCCCCCCCTTTGGTATTTTTTTTTTTTTTTTTTTTTGTAATTATTTAAAAAAATATTAAAAAATAAAAAATTATACCCACGGCTAACCTAAAAAAGGTGGCCTTACCCCCCCCCCCCCCCCCCCACTGAGCGTCTTTTCGGCTGGCTGAGTCGTTGCGATTTTTTTTGGACTCCAAAAAAAAAAAAAAAAAAAAGTGTCCGCTTACCCCCCCCCCCCCCCCCCCCCCCCCCCCCCCCCCACTGAGCGACTTTTCGGCCGGCGCGATTTTCAAACTTTCGGGAGCAAATATTTTAAAACCCCCCCCCCCCCCTTGAAAAAATCCTGCGTACGCCCCTGGTATAGTGATTACAACTTTCAAACATTCATATCTTGTTGAATCGACTTAAGTGATCGCAATCACCTAAGTAAGTCTGACTTTAAGGACCTTTTACCGAATGGTCGTACCTTTTGTGCTGCACAAAGATTCAATCAGTTTAATTTTGACCATTACAAGTGGTGGGTTATTGATGTAGACAAATGCTCATGTACCTGTTACAGCTCATTTTAGGTATTTGTTACCAAAGAAAATAAGATGTCAGTCACTCACTCAATAGTGTCCGACAGTGAAGTCTAGAAGGTAAACGGGTTTCCTTGCATAATTTGAATACAAGGACACTGCTAATGTTTAAATTTCACAGATAGGACATACATGACATATTCGTAATTCCTGTAAAGTTCTACAGAATTTGATGTTGGTTGCAAAGGGACATAGTAGTAATAGTATCTTTAAGTCAGATTTAATTGAAACCTTCATCGGTATGTTTCTCTGTACTTTCTGCTTTTTTAAGAGTAGTTGTCTATTTGGGTAGGATTTCCTTTTAAAGAAATGGTTCACCCCCCCCCCCCACACACACACACATACTAGAGCATTATATGCGATTCTTGTTCTCATTAACATTGCTGTGTCGGTATCGCGTGACAAAAAGACGAGTACGGTTTCTCCACCAGGAAATATGTACATGTACGTTGCAGGATGTGTTTAACTAATATCAATAGGCTCATACTTCACGATGTAATGTCTTTTATTTTATAACATATATTCATGATAAGCATATTTCGACGAAATTGCACTTTTTACTAAGATCAGTTTCGATCCGACAAAATATTATGATTGTAAGCCTAAAGGACTAATTTAACAGACTAATTAAACTGAGGAATCGAGCAATGATATTGCTATATGACTGACATCTCAAATATCACATTTTTTAAAGAATCTTATATGGATCACTGCAATTGGAATAAATCAAATAACAAAATAACTATAATAATTTCGTACTATGACCTGCTACGTGGGCTAGATATCCTACCCCCTAAATAAAAACAAAATCAAATTTCTCACGGCATTTTTTATTTTGCACTATAGACCTTGTCAGATCTTACCCGTCTGCACCACCACCGCCAGGCGCGATAGCTCGGTCGGTAGAGCAGTGGTCTCGTAATCCGGTGACCCGGGTTCGAAACCAAGTGGATGCGCTAGTGCCCTTTGGTAAGGCATTAATCCTTATTACCAGGTCCCTCGGCCGGCTGGTTGCTTACTAACAAGCATTTATGCTTTCTTAGCAGTCAGGTAAAATAACCACGACCTCCACCCCACCCCTACAAAAAAGACAGTAAATGTTTGGATTTTATTCGGATCGCATTACCTCTATGAACGCTACATGACGCGAAAGCCTTCAAAGTCTAAAGGTGTTCAAACCCCCTATCCCATGTAACAAAACACAATTTCAAAGTGCTCCCCTCCCAAATCCCTCTTCGGGCAGTAAGTAGGCTTATGGTCCGGTCCAACTCAGTTTTTTTAGTGTTACGATAGTTTCAGGAAATCAAGATCGTGGATAAAATAAGTTAGGTTAATTATATGATTACTATATAGTATCCTGACGTATGATTATTTCTGGGAAGAAAAAAAATCTCGAAAAACTTCATTGGCTAAAATTGAAGAGCTTCTGGGTGCCTGGTCCTTGGCCTCTGGCAATGGATATGGCTAAGGCTATATCATTTTTGGGTCAATAAGTCCTATTAAAAGGTACTTTCCACAAAAAAACATTATTGCCGTTTAAACAATTACTAGTTTCTAAAATAGCAAACTCAGTCCTAAATGACTATGATAATGGGCATACTTGTTCTACTTAATGCCTCAGTGGCGTAGCCAGGACAAGATCAGTCGGGGGCAGAGTGGTGGGGCAATGATTTCCAAGGGGGACAAATTACGATAGGATTATATGTGTGTTATGTTTTGCTGTATTTTTCGTCACCACAGGAGCCTAGCAAATATATTAGCTAGGTTATGGGAATGTCTTTATATAATAATCAAAGATAAAAGGTAAAATATACTTTAGAAAAAGACATAATACAGATGACGTCACCGTTCGCATAACGCCTAACGGTCATAAAATCGTATCTAATTTGGCTTAAAATCTTGAAAATCTAACTTCCTTACTTATATGGAAAATATATCGTGCAATATTGTATATTTAATAAAAGCTTGAATATGGTATATATAACTTAAGTTCCTATAACCCCCTCTTCCTTTACTGAGGGTTAGGAACATGATAGATCAGCCCCTTGGTGGCGACGCTGCTACGCCATCTCTACTTTGACGAAAATTGTCGGTTATTATGTATTTGTATCGGAATACTTCGGGAAAGGTGGCCCGAATGACGCAGTGTGGTCGGACTGATTGGGGGGGGGGGGCGGGGTGATGGTTCTCGTACATTATTGGGGCACGCCTTTTTCTTTATTTTTCAGAAATGTTTTCTGTCCAATATTCAGGGGCATGTGTCGCCCCCCCACGTGTCTACGCCAAAGCCGTGGGGGTGTACCCCATCAAATATTTCCCTTTCTTATTATCATTTTGTTCGCTTATTTAAATGAATGTTATGAATAACGACCCTCATTCGTATTATGAATAGCGAACCTCATTTCTTATTATGAATAGCGACCCTCATTTCGTATTATGAATAGCGACCCTCTCCTCGTATTATGAATAGCGACCCTCATTTCGTATTATGAATAGCGGCCCTCTTCTTGTATTATGAATAGAATATGAATTATTATAAGTAGTAGTAGTAGTAGTAGTAATAGTAGTAGTAGTAGTAGTAGTAGCCTAGTAGTAGTTTTTATAGTTGTAGTAGTAGTAGTAATAGTAGTAGTAGTAGTAGTAGTAGTGGTAGTAAAAAATATGCAATGAATGTCAAAGGAAGACTATAAAATAACTCACCTAACAATTAAAAGCAAGCAGCGATGTCCACTCCCTTGCTTTTATCACTTATCCGTATATTTTTTTCCTCTGAATCTGCCAATACACAATTCACAGGTTCTTCCTAGCTACAAGGCGACGCTAAAAGAAAATACTCCCCAGACCGTATCCTATAAAACGCGAACGCTCTGACTACCACCGAGTGCATATCCCGTTAACAACACAATGATCAAGTACAGAATAATTATCGATGGTATTATTGTCCAGACGAATTAGTCTCGATTGTCGACCTGTGATTTCTGATGATTGGAGCAGCACAGTACAAGCAGCGTACACGGAATGACAGATAATTATAATGCAACACACCGTAAGCTACCAGAACTAGATAGACTAGACTTTCTCTTTCATTGTCGGTGGTGTAGTTATACACTTTGCGTGCCGAATCGAGTCCATCAATACAAAATTCATTTTCTTTGTTGTGGTAATATGTTCTTATTAGGTATTTTATATTTAGGGACAGCCCCATTGTTTTCCCCCAAATGGTACTACATAATGGAATTATGGTAAAACGGGGGTGGAACATTGTTGTGTAAACAATACAAAATAGTTAACAATTTTGATGATTTAAATTAAAAGAAAATAATGTGAATGAACTCTGTTTATTTTGTTTTCATCGAAAACTGCATCGGAAAGAGGATTAAGCTACGATTTTCTCTTGTGTATAGTAGTAATAGAAGTGAAAGCAAGGAAACCCACTGTGAAAGTAAACCAGTGTCCATTATAGGCGTACGAGACAGGGGCGGGGGCAGGCTTTAGCCCCTCGAAGATTTCATCCGGGCAACCATACCTCATATTCGGGCAGCCAGTTTCCAGATTATGTCATTTTCCTGTGTATTTTGGTGAAGACAGAACATTTCTGAAAAAATAAAGTTCCCCTTTTGCGAGAGAGCGAAACTGGAAAATTGATTACACACCCTCTCGAAAATATGCCTGCACGCTTAATATGTCTAGTTCGCAGGCACAAACTGTTGTCATATCAGTCATTGTGCGTAACAGTGTCTGCTCTGTGAGACTATGGAGACTTCACGGTCTACTGCACCCCATATAGGCTCGGTGCTTAAGTTGCTCCTGACTTGTGAGCAGAAACTAGCTGACTTAGGCTCGGCTCAAGGATTTAGGAATTGTGGTTTATTTGTCAAATTCACAGCCTGTGCATGCAGACTAGATTATGCCGGTGCCATACGATGTTTTGATACCAAAGCTGAAAGTGATAATATAGGCCTAAATTCTGGCGAAGTTAAATTCAGTCACACCTTTGCGTATTTGGCTTGCGTGTTGCTGCATATTTATGGCAAGCCGTTTTACATTTATTCCTATTTCTTGATATCCAAAAAATAATTCTTGATATCAAGAAATTATTTTCTGTTGTAAAGCAATGGTAATTCTTGATATTAAGAATTCGGTTTCTTGATATCAAGAAATCATTTCTTGATAACAAAAATTCAATTCTTGATATCAAGAAATAGGAGTAAATGTTAAAACGGCTTGCCATAAATACGCAGCAATACGCAAGCCAAATACGCAAAGGTGTGACTGAGGCATAAGTGTCCATGCCCCCATCCTTTGAGAGAAAAAAATTGAGGGCTAATTAATAAGGACTACTTTAAAATTATTTGCGGTCAGACAGGCATACTTGATCTGAAGACAATATCAATCCAAATGATCAGTGAGTTCAACAATACACTTGATATCAATCAGGCGCGTACGCAGGATTTTTTCAAGGGGGGGGGGGGTTTAACATTTATAAATCGGGCCGAAAATTTCGCAACGACTCAGCCAGCCGCTGAATAAGCGGGGGGGGGGGGGGTAATAGGACACTTTTTTTTTTTGGTCCCCAAAAAAAATCGCAACGACTCAGCCGACCGCTGAATAAGCGGGGGGGGTTAAGAGGACACTTTTTTTTTTTTTTTTTTTTTTGGTCTCGAAATTTGAAAATTGACATTTTGCTCCGTTGGGGGGGGGGGTGGGGTAAGGTCAGTTTAGGGGGGGTTACACACAGAAAAATACCAAAGGGGGGTTTAACCCCCCCCCCCCCCCCCCCCCTGTGTACGCGCCTGATATCAATTCATAGCCAGTCTTTGGCCTCCAAAATGTGCAACATGTATATCATCTAATTCCTAATAGACCACATTCAATCAGTAGTACTAGATCCTGGATCCTCTGGTTGGTAGGGGGGGGGGGCACAAATCCAAATGTTCTAAATTCTGTGGCAAGCAAAAGATAAACAAAACAAAGCAAAACAAAAATTATACAAACGGGAAAAGGTCATCTGGTCATTGGTGATCCGTTTTGGGTACATACAATTCTGACAAGCAGGAAAAAAGTTTATCAGCCCAGGGGGGTGTTTCATAAAGCTGTTCGTATAAAGTTACGCATGACTTTACGAATGACTTGTATATGAAAAGCCAAATGGGATGCTCAATCGTTCTTGATTATTATTTATTAAGTTGAACTGTGCAGATGTAGATTAACATTCTTATTATAACAAACATTTTTAATGCAAAGTATATTTTTTGCCATAATTTAATTGAGGTTTTTTGAAATATCAGAAAAAACTTTTTATCTGGCACTTCATATACAAGTCGTTCGTAAAGTCATGCGTAACTTTACGAACTCTTTATGAAACACCCCCCTGGATTCTTCTTTTCTTCCTGCTATATTTTTTCCTGGCCGAGGTGAGAGGAGGGGGGGGGGGGGGTGGGAGGAGGGGGTGGAGCACTTGATCCGCCATTGTCAATAACAGCATTTGAAGAATTGTGACATGCATAGTCCCAGTCTCGCTTCCGCTACACACTTCCACTATTTCCATAAAATTCATGGTCCAACTGAAAGAGAAACTATATATCTTGTTCAAAACAGACATTAGTGTTAGGATTTTACTCAATTAAGGTCAAGTGCCTTACTCTGAAATATATTTTGTCTTCTTCTTCGCATAGTTATTGCCAGGGGCGGCGATCCCGGGGGGACGATTTTTGTAGGGGGGATCGTCCCCCCCCCCCGGAAAATTAGAAAAAGTACACAAAAATAATGTACAGCAAATACTGACTAAAGACTGCAACACACTATTAGGCTTTGGAGGGCCCAAGAGTGCAGCATTTAGACAAATAAAAATGCAAAAATCTTCTGGCTCGGGAGCTATGCTCCCTCGCATAATATCCTTCAAAATGAACAATTAATATTGTAGAAAAGTGAAGTGTGAAACAGTTATTTTGTTTGTTTTCATACTATAGTTTTGCTAAGGAATATAATTTACCTTGACCCCTCTCGTTCACATGCTCACTCACTCATGCTTTGGGCAGTCCCCCCCCCCCGATAAAATTCAAACGTGGTTTACTTCTAATTCGATACCAGTTACTAATTTACAAGTGTTACTGAAATGGCATGATTTTCCCCAAGCTTCCGGGGCTCTGCCCCCTGTACCCCACTAAGGGCCCTAAGGCTTGTCCCTGGTTACTCAGCTGACCATAATTAAATTCCTAAAACACCTGAGCTTCTGAGGGGCACCGCCCCCTGGACCCCACCAGGGCCCTAAGCGGGCCTCTGGATGGTCATCTGACCATATTCAAAAGCCTAAGACCCTGAGCTTACGGGGGCTCCGCCCCCTAAACCCCACCAAGGGCCCTAAAAGGCGGCCCCTGGATGCTCATCTGTTCGTAATTAAATGCCTAAAACTTCTGAGCTTCTGGGGGCTTCGCCCCCTGGACCCCAGTACGATTAGTGACCTGCATGCAAGTGTCACAAATAAGGTATCAAAATATGCTCATCTGACCCTTATTAAATGCCTAAAAACTCTGAGCTTCATGGGGCTCCGCCCTTGACCCCCGCCGGTGCTTTGCCTCTGGACCCCACGCCAAAGTTACACCCAACTTAATTGCTTTGCTCTATCTGATCTCAAATACTTTATCCCCCCCCCCTCCAACTTTGAAAAACGGTTCCGCGGGGCCTGCATGTAACATGTAAGAGCGATGACGAGGGAGGAGTGACGCAATGAGCCAAAACGTTTTTTTGGGGGGAGGGGAGAAAAAAATCCTGCATGCAAGTGTCACAAATAAGGTATCATAATATGCTCATCTGACCCTTATTAAATGCCTAAAAACTCTGAGCTTCATGGGGCTCCGCCCTTGACCCCCCGCCGGTGCTTTGCCCCTGGACCCCACGCCAAAGTTACACCCAACTTAATTGCTTTGCTCTATCTGATCTCAAATACTTTATCCCCCCCCCCTCCAACTTTGAAAAACGGTTCCGCGGGGCCTGCATGTAACATGTAAGAGCGATGATGATGCGGATTTTTTTCTCCCCTCCCCCCAAAAAACGTTTTGGCTCTCTGCGTCACTCCTCCCTCGTTCCTCGCATTTCGTCCCCCCCCCCCCCGTCATGAAAAGAAATCGCCGCCCCTGGTTATTGCCTTATAAGTTTATTTGTACTTTTTTCCAATCAAGAAGTTGTAGGAAGGTCTGAAAACCTGCAGGTATATAACCATAAGAAGTTTTGAAGAGTTTTCTTTTGCAAGAATTGACTTCAATTACATCATGAAAGAAGGATTAGATACTATTTGAGGTTAAAATCATTTCCTTTGAATAGAAAATCTTATGATAAAGATGTTGGAGAGTCAAATCCTGACCTCGGCTTTTTGTTTACTCTTTGTTGTCTCGACATTTGTTTCTATCGTGAGACGATAATAAATCTAGACAATCAAATTATTTCCTGCTATATAACTTTGGTCTTGGTCTTTTGGGGGCTGTTACTTTAAATGTAGGTACAAAATGCCATCCATTATGCCATGATTATACATTTTAAAAAGTAGATTATTAATGTTCGTTGCTTTCAAAACTATTTTGTTTTATATTTGATTTCAAAGTCAAACCGTTCATTTATTTATTCTATGGCAAAAATTGTGTGAGCGTGAATATGTTGGTCTAAACATGGAGTCAACTTCATATTTTTGTGTTTTGATATCTAGATTATTTGTTATTCCAAATTGTGTTATCAGTGATAGAAACATTGTTGTAAACTATGGGAAGCCACAACATTTTAACAGCACATATAGAAAACAAAAATTAACAATTCTAATTTTCAAGAAACGATTTATTAGAATTCATTCTCATATAATAATACCATGCAGAAGAAAGGCAAGAAACATTCTCAACCATTGCATTAAAATTCATTAAAGTCAGTCATGGGAAACCAGTAGAATCATTGCCACAAAATAATTGTAATATACATGAAAACACCATGACGAAACATTAATAATCGGAATGTACATCCTGTTCTGGGACGGTTGTATTTTAATGCCCTTTGAACTAGGGTAATAGCTTGTGGTGACAAAAGCACAGTGCAGTAGTAGTATGAGCTCTCATAAAGAGATGTCGGTTCTACAGGTAGGGGGGGGCAGGTGAGGCAGCCCCTCCTGTCTATATAATTGACCCACCCCCCCCCCCCCCCACCTGCGTCCTAAAGATGCATCATTATTTGGCCCTTCTGCAGTGGTATTTGATATGAATCATATTCTTCTATTACAGTTCATTTCAATTAGAAAAACAAAGTAACGAACCAACCAAACAAACAAACGAAATTTGGAATAACTTCTTTAAAATGTGTGGCTACGAATTTTCGTCGCCAGTAGACCAGGCTGAAAAACAACAATTATTCAAAGATAAATGTTTGTACCCAGACATGATTATTCATGATCCAAACAGATTCGATCATACATATTATGCCATGCTGCCTTCTTTAGTTCTGAGTATACGGTGTTGAGGTATAATTACTCGGGCACTCAAAGATGATTTTACATAAGCCCCCGAATCATCATCCATCTACTCTTAAACCATTATATGAAATATAAGCTCAAGGAATAAATGCATCTTAATACAGATGAGTGGTAAACCACATTTCAGGAGTTATATTCGGAGTTAAATCCATTCCAACCCTAAGCGGAATCCACTCTAAATTAGTGGTTGAATAACTCGTTGGAGATTAGATTTCACTTAGTTGTAGGTCCATGGTTGGAGCATGGAGATATCTCTTCTTATATATCCATGGTTGGAGAGTGGATTTCACTTAGTTGGAGATTAGATTTCACTTAGTTGGAGATAGGATTTCACTTTCCAGTAGTTTGAGCGTGGATTTCACATAGTTGGAGAGTGGATTTCACTTAGTTTGAGCGTGGATTTCACTTCGTTTGAGTGTAGATTTCACTTAGTTGGAGAGTGGATTTCACTATTTGGAGAGTGGATTTCACATAATAGTTGGAGAGTGGATTTCACTTTCTAGAAGTTTGAGGGTGGATTTCACTTAGTTGGAGAGTGGATTTCACATAATAGTTGGGGAGTGGATTTCACTTTCTAGAAGTTTGAGGGTGGATTTCACATAGTTGGAGAATGGATTTCACTTAGTTGGAGAGTGGATTTCACATAATAGTTGGAGAGTGGATTTCACTTAGTTGGAGAGTGGATTTCACGTAATAGTTGGAGAGTGGATTTCACATAGTTGGAGAGTGGATTTCACTCAGTTTGAGCGTAGATTTCACTTAGTTGGAGAGAGGATTTCACTCCAAACCAATAACTCCTCAAAAAGTGGATTTCTACTCCTTAGAGAATAGGCCACGCCCATAGCTCGTTCGGACTTCCGTTCTAGCGTGAAAAGACATCGCATCATGCGAATTCTTTTATTGAAACATGTGCCAATGTGACACAAAACTTTCTGTAAAAAAAGAACAAGATTGTTTTATACATGTATCTATATCGGTGTCTACAACTTAAAAACGGTGGACCAAAGATAGGTAAATATTTCAACTGATATAACTTGCCAATTGCCATTCTTTTACACGCTAAAATAAAAGAAGGACATAAAACGTGACGGATTTTTGCGGCGATTTTCCGCGCCACATTTGAGATTGAACAAGCCCTTTATTAAGGCAATTTCATTCTGTCCCGCAATAAATAATATTGGCAAACGACGAAAAAACTGGAACTCGTTTATGTTATGTCAATAATATTGTGAAGGCATCCATTCATTTATTTCATTGCTCCATTAAGCAAACTAAAATCAATAATATTTGTCATACTGTTCATCACAGAAATGAGAAAAGTTAAAAATGAAGTAATTAGATTAAATATTTCACACCATCACCAAATCGAACTTAATATCACTATACATGCACAATTCCATTGAAATGCTATATTGATAATGTGAACGGCTGAATGAATGTTAAAGGCAATAATTTAGTACTGATAATAACAAAAAAACAGCGCTTAGAGACTTCGGTGGTGAGCGCTTTATAAGCACTGTTTTTATTATTATTATTAAAGGTTATGAATATTTTAGTTAAAACTGCATTTCTTGTTTAATTTTGAAGATAACAGTATTTGAAGAACAATCCTTTTAACCCTTACTGTACTGGGGGGGGGGGGGCTGAGAGGCCCCCCCCCCCTCGACATTTTTGAAGATTGCGCCGCGACCGCTTGGAATTTTGAATTGTCGTTTCATGACTTTTTTCCCTCAAGTCTTACGCACATTTTGATACCATTTTCGTCGAAATCAGAAAATACCTGTAAGGTATTACATAACAATTAGTATGCGCATTTCATCAAAAATATGCTATAATTGCATATATTCATGTACAAGCAGAAATGTGAATACTATGAATTGATATCAAATTGCTTTTATATGTTTCTCAAAGTAACTTGATGTATTTCAGAACAAAAGAATACATTAGAAATAAAACAATAGATATAATAAGAAATAAAAAACAATAAAATACAAAAGAAAATAATTATTACAAAATCGCATCAAATTTTCATAAATTATCATTATTAATTACATCAAAATCACTATTTTGTGTTAGAAAAGAAGTTTCATATGAATAATAGGTTTCAATTAACATTCAAAAAGTGGAGTCTGACAATTTTTTGTAATGATTCTAGTTCCCTGTATATTTCTAGATTTGATATTCATGAATGCGTATTCATAATTTATGCAAATTAGCCTATGCATTTTCAAATATCATAAAAATAATGTAACCTCATGAATTTGAGATGAAGGAGACATTTATTCAGTACATTTTTAACATTCTTCACAAGTCTACAGACAAATATGATGGGTTTTCTGAAAAATGCATAAAATTAGCATTTTGCATAATTAATTAGGCTATAACAACAAAAATTTGCATATTAGGGAAAAACTAATTATACCATCTTGTTCCTTACGTAAATATCTACAAACATGCAAATTTTCGCGTTCATCGGACTTTCGACGGCCGAGATCATGGGGGGGGGGGGCCTCCCAGGCCCCCCCCCCCCCCGTCACGAGGTGCTCAAAATAGCCCAGTACAGATAGGGTTAAGGGGACATTTCTAATATTAATTTCTTCTATAAACTGACGTAAAAATGAGAAAGGTCACAAATAATGTGTCACCTTTACAAACACTCAACTTTCCGTGTATCAAACGAAGGTAGACCTCTAAAATGTATAATTGTAGCTCCGTACAAGCATGATAACACTAATAATGATGAAAGTGAGGAAATGCTCGTGAGTTTTTAATGATACTAGAAAACAATTGAACAACAACCTGCAACAAACAGATTAGAAGAAAAAAATAAAAACAAAAGCTTGTTCATCAAATCGTTTGGATGGAGAATTCATTTGATATCAACCATAAAAGTATCAATATGATATTTCCATTTAATTAATACCATGTTATTTTAAGTATAAGGGAAATGTACAGAGTTGTTAGAAGTCGATGGGGTCAAAATAACATTTGTAAATATTATTCAATTCTTATACACATAATAATATGGAACCATAGACTAGATCCCTAAAATAGTGTTCACTCTGGAACGCTTGCGTTCTCGAGAACTCAGATATTCTAATTTTATATTTTACAGTCATTCGTTAGGTCTACTGAAAATGGAATCTCGCGCTAAATCAGTTTCATTGAATTACATCTACATAAGAATAAAATAGTTCCTAAATTACAACAACAGCAAATCTGTTGATGTATTTCTAAACAATCTAACATCATGGATAAAGGAAAGCCGTGTATTTCAAATGAAATCATAATTCGTCCGACTAGACGGATAAACCCGACATAATGATGTTGTCCTTATATACAGCTTACATAGCTAATTTAAAGAAACTATCAATGAAATGAAAATGCAAGAAAAGAAATATTACCAAATCCCTGGCCGTGATTAGTGTTTTGTCTGCTGTGAGTCAAAAGAATGTATTTAATATATGGGATATCCTCCCTTCTGGCTCTCAGCACACATATCGTTCATATTTTGTAACAGAGCTAAATATACATCTGTTCGAATTGGGTCATTTATTCTATGGAATCACAAAATCGATATTTTTCAGAAAATACGTGTAGCTCATACTCCCCTCCCAATCTTCAGTTGTCTAACATATTGATTATTATCTGTCCAAATTCGATAATGTCTGAAACCAATCAGTTAATATGATTATAATCGTCACAATCAACACCGTCAGCAGTTTGCTAATATTGATTATAAGATCTTCAATTAACGTTAAATGTTGTTTTATCATAATAGTTAACAAGGACAATGAGAGCTTGTCCTATTACCAATGACAGAATTTTTATAAGCTTATAAACGTCATCATACTCATAAATATAGTCGTTACCATCCCTTCTTCATCGTCAAGTACATGTACTCATGAACTTGATGTCGAGGGAACCCTTAATTGCTAGTCATCTTGGAAATCGATGACGGACGGCCGAGAGCTGGCTTGGGTCAGGAATGTGGAGACCGTCGACCCCGTGCTTTCATGCCGAGCGCTCAGGACAGGGAATTCATTGAAAGACGGGCATGGTTGTATCGTACCGTTATTGCAGCTATCACATGCATGTCGCTGACGGCGAGGTTGATTCCGTGGTCGATCCACGTTAGGCATAGGTCCGATTCTCGAGGGTAGACACTACCGAAATCAAAGCAGGTATGAAATATTATTATCACCACGGTCTTCATTTCCTACATTTTTAGTAGATCTTTCTTCATAAATATTCCATCACTTGAATAAGTTAAACATTTTGCCACAGAGAAAACAACACAACTACAACTAGACCATGCATGCACTGACAAGATAAAGAAGAAGAAGAAACACAAAATTATTTCCTAGTATAAAGAATGAAACGTCAAGTTTTAAAAATCAATAAAGGAAAAGTGAATATAATTAATAAATATGAGAGAAAGAAAAAGGAAAGAGAATAATGGCATATCATAACTGCCATGGTTCTGATCTTACCATTGCACCACAAGCAAAGCAAGGTGCAGGAACTCCTGCTGTAGCTCGTCCAGTGAATTCGTTTCCACAATTTCTACATTTGTAGTAACCATGACCATACTCACGGGAACGGGGGATAGGATCGTAACGGACTTGACATCCTGAACAACTGAAAGTAGAATTGTGAAATGAAATTGAAAATACATCTGTGATAAACATAACCGACTCATGGGAGCGAGGAATAGGATCGTAACAAACGTAACGCCTTGAGGGGACGAGATTTTTTGAATGCAACAAGTGGAAAGCCTACGCGTTGCGTTACGCATTTCGGCGACAGAAGGCTGTTATCAAGCATGGACAGAGCCGCGGGCGCTGACTATATCCCCTTCAAAAGAATCGAGAAAACAATTAAAAAGGAAAAAGAAAATAAAGCATTTACCTTTTATTTCTATCTTTATTTCTTTCTTTCCTTCTCTCTTTATATATTCCTTCCTTTCTTTCTTTCTTTCTTTCTTTCTTTTTCTGTACTTTCACTTTCTTTCCTTCTCTTCCTGCATGTGCTTTCTTTTTTCTTACTGTTACTTTCTTACAGTTACTTTTTTCCTTCTTATCCTCAGAGAATTCCACAATAAAAATGTACAAAATATGAAATACATACATTTTTCTCGAAAAGGCTGAGTGATAAGGTAATCGGATTATATCTATGAAGCAAAATACAAACAACTACTTCTTCTTACCGCGAGACGGGTTTGTAGCTGAAAACTTTTCGCCACCAGATGTTCTTGCAACCGCCGCATACGAACTGTCTTCTTTCATTGAGGTTCTTGTCGTGTTTCCTAATATTCTCGAGAGTTAGTGGGACTACAGAAGTTGGGGGATCTCCGCCATTCTGTAAGATGAGGTACAAATTTCGATTATAATGTCAATTTTTTTTTACAGGACAATGAGTTTTACCTCATTTTTAATGTTTTTGAATTCGAAAAGAATTATAGAAAATAATAATACAAAATATTGTACAAAGTGCAGAAGTCATTCAAATACGCTTAACAGCACTTCAAGAGCTCCTGATGTGCTTAAAACTATATAAAATATCGATTTTAGGTTTTGATTTAAAAGCATTATAACGATGGTGATTAACCTAATTCTAATAATGATGTTCGACAGATTGGGGCTGCACGCACATGCTCGATCTTATAACGTTATATTTGTTAGCATTCGTTTTGTTGTAGTTATTGTTATAGTAGTAGCCTATGTGTTGATGTTGTTGTCGTTGTTGTTGTTATTGTTGTTGTTGTTGTCGTCGTCGTCTTCATCGTTGTTGATGATTATGATCAGTACACGTATGACCCGGATATATATCTTACATACCATGGCAATGTTACCAATAGCTTGGGGTCTAAAAATTATGGGACCATTTTCATTCACTGAATGTGTATTTACCTTATACCAGATTGCGATTTTCCAGCGGGCAGCATACATGCCACCCACCAAAAAAAGAATAAAATATATAAATAAATAAGAAAAATCTGATTCGCCACCACACAGACTACTTACATTTCCTTTGAGTCTAATATGTATCAACCTGAGAGCTAGCTCCATCTTTTCCTCGGCTCCCCGAACAAAGAACTCCGACGTTCCATTGTCACGAATATTGAACTCGAGCCTGATGTAGTTACATTCTCTCGAGATTGCCCTGCATATTGTCCGAATCTTAGCTTCATCTGGCTGCTGTCCAAGTCGAACATTGGAACCGAACAGAAACCATAGATATACGTGAAGTGTGCGTAAAACAAAATGAGAGAGAGACAGAATGAAATTAACATCCTGGTAAATAAAAAAAAAAAAAAAACAAAAAACATACAATGCATACAAAAACAAAAACAAAACAAAAAGTACAAAAAGAATAGATTAAGAAGATTTTTAAAAGAATTTTTTTTTCTTCAATCGGCTTTGACAAACACATTTCGACATTATTTTGCTTAATCCTTTTACCTCCTAATATTACACAATAAAAGTAAATATCTACTCGAAAGGTTGTATGAAATATGTAATTTTATTCATTTCAATCGGTCTTGCTCGGCACATATTTAACACGATCGCACAGACTTTCGAGAAATCAAGTAAAAGCGCATTAAAACATAAATATTATATTGTATGTCCATTTGAAAATAGAAAGCATGTCGTGTGACGTAAGCCATTGTCATGTTCGCACAGTATAAATTAACAGGAGAAATTTGCTCGTAAACGTTAATCTGCTGAATTTCCTTACCTCACCGCCATCTTGTGCTTTGCGATACTTTATCCGTTCTATACCGATGCGATGTGTCTATGATAAAACAAAAAATAAATGAATGAATAATGAATAATGAGTATAATAGTTTTTTACTGTTTTTGTATAAACGTTATAAACGATGTAAATATGTTCATGTTTATGCAGGGCCCCATGGAAGACCACCACTTGTATGTGAATGGGCTAACCAGTCAAAAGATTAGAAATAAATAAATAAATAAATAAATAAATGGATTATAAAGGATGAGAGCCTACTAAATCTCTTAGCATACGCTTCGCCAATGCTTAACAGAACCAAGAAAGAAAGCATTCAATATCTTTCCCAATCACTACTTAAACGGTCTTACTTTCTACTATACAGTCATGTTCTATACCAAAGGTGTCGATTTGTATCCGTGGTTGGGGGGATGATAGGTGCCAAAAAAAATTCGGCAATGGATCAAAGCAACCAAGAGGTAGAAGCGTGTGGCAGGTTGCACCCCCTCCCCAAGCGCATAGCCAGGATTTCATTTTGGGGGAGAGGTAGTGAGCACGCGAAGCGTGCAAAGCGCGCTCCCTAGGGGGTTGGGTGCAGGGAGGGGGAGTTTCCCCCCTCATCTGCGTAGCGCGGAAGCTTTGACGTTTCATTAGATTATTAAAGAAAGAAGACGATTCGACGTACCATTCTCGACTCTCAATCATTGTTTGAATCTAGTTCCCCTTCCCCCGCGCGTAGCGTGCACGCTCTGACGTTATATTAGATTATTAAAGAAAGAATACGATTCGATGTACCATCTCGACTCTTAATCCTTAATGTTTGAATCAAGTTCCCCTTCCCCCGCGCATAGCGCGGAAGCTCTGACGTTTCAATAGATTATTAAAGAAAGAAGACGATTCGATGTACCATTCTCGACTTTTAATCCTTGTCTGAATTCAGTTCCACCCTCCCGCGCGAAGCGCGGAAGCTTTGACGTTTCATTAGATTATTAATGAAAGAAGACGATTCGATGTATCATTCTCGACTCCTAATCCTTGTCTGAATTCAGTTTCCCCCCCCCCCCTCCCGCGCGAAGCGCGGAAGCTTTGACGTTTCATTAAATTATTAAAGAAAGAAGACGATTCGATGTACCATTCTCGACTCTTAATCCTTGTCTGAATTCAGTTCCCCCCTCCTCTCGCGCGAAGCGCGGAAGCTTCGACGTTTCATTAAATTATTAGAGAAAGAAGACGATTCGTTGTACCTTTCTCGACTCTAAATCCTTGTCTGAATTCAATTTCCCCGCTCCCGCGCGAAGCGCGGAAGTTCCGACGTTTCATTAAATTATTAGAGAAAGAAGACGATCCGTACTTGTACCGTTCTCGACTCTAAATTCCTTGTCTGAGTTTCACGGCTCCCACGCGAAGCGCGGAAGCTTTCTCCTTGTCTCCTATCTCATCACAAATTCGTCACAGAGTTCATCTATGTTTACACTGTCAATGATTGTCTGATGTGCATTGCAGATTGCTATTTTTGCGCTCACGCGCTTTACATTTAGCTCGCTGCTTTTTAACGCTGCGTCTTTGCATTTGGCGCACTGCATTTATATGATGCTGTTGATTGAACAAATTGAATAAATTCATTAATTCCTGATAAATCCGTATGAGCGAGAATTCAATTTATTCTTGTCTCATATACGGTTGTCTCATTTACGTAAATGTGTATGTATAATGAAAATGAGATAGCAAAATGTGTATATTGATGGTCATCTGGCTAGAAATAACCATTAACTACTCCAATCGGGCTCTCATCATTAATTTTTTTTTAAATGTTTTATGGTGAATTATTGGGGGGGGGGGGAATGATTGTACAGGCCATCCCCTCACCTGAAATATTGGGGGGGGGGGGATATATCCCCCACCCCCCCCCCCCCCCCCCGGGATCGACACCCATGTTCTATACCTCCGTCACAGACTCCAACCAGATCTATTTGGGATCATTCGGGATAATGTAAAAATAAAAATTGCTCAATCTGTTGTCGGTCTGGTGCCGGGGTCTGGTGTCGATCGTTCTCGTTGGTGCGACTGAGATATAATCATTCGGATTTTATTGTATATTGCCATTTTATAGGCTCACAATAATCCCGATGTAATGATTACACACCATCGTACAACATTTAAAGTTCTTCTTCTGACATACAAAATTCTCCATGGCCAAGCCCCTAAATATCTTTCAGATTTGATTCCCTTACGTTCTTCTAGTTCTTTAAGACCTCTTCGATCATCATCAACCTTGCAGTTAACCCTTGGATCTCGTACTCTTACAAAATATGGCGATCGAGCTTTTTCAGTAAATGCCCCTATCCTTTGGAATAAATTACCAGCGCATAGTCATAATACTCATTCTCTAGATCAGTTTAAGTCCTTGCTGAAAACGCCCCTTTTTAATTCATGAATTATATTCTGCAGTTGTGAGTCGGTCAAAGGAGATGCACACCATTTTATTCCTTGTTTGTTTGATCTTCTGTTTGACCTTATGTTAGATCTCATTTTTATTTTTAATATTATATACGCATGATTTATTTAAAAAAGAAAAGATTGATAATTTGTGTGTATATTATAAGTTTTGGTTAGTATTATTTTTAATCAGACAATGGTACGCTTAGAAACACCTGTATTAAGCGCCTAATAAATGTTTTGTATTATTATAACCATTATCCTGATTATTGAGCTTGTGCCTATACACAATAGGAAATAAAGGGAAGTTGGGGGGGGGGGTGACATCCAAAAATTACAGAGTCACGTAGTGAAACACACATCGTGGAAGACCTATTCTTCTTCTTCTCCTTCTCCTCCTCCTCCGTCTTCTTCTTATTTTCTTCTTCTGCTTTTTTAAATATTTAAAATCCTCTTTCCCCCCCCCTTTTTTTTTTAGCTCATGAACAGGGGGTATGGCCCCCTTCTGCCTCTTTGGTTTCACCTATGTATAAAAGGAGAATGGGTGCCAAAGATGAGGCCTTGTACTGTCACGTCATATAGGGCAATGGTATTGTGAAAGGAACCATCCTCATTGATTAGAGACTGCATGGCCATCTGTTCTGTGCCATAGAAATACTATGGATATCAACACCCTAATTAGTATTGTTTCCCTAAACAGGCATATTCATTCGGAAGAGATTAACGCTCAATCTAAGTGATGACGGGTGAAACGCAAAGATTTTCTACAATAATGTGTCTCATAAACAGAAACCTACTCCATCAATCTTCATCAGTTAGAGTCGATGATTTTCACACTTTGTCGATTAAAGAGACGGTGCCTCTTTAAGTCCGAAATAGTACCATTTCCCGTCAATAGTTCTCTTTTCAACATCAACGCTTTGATTATTCTAATTTGAATTAATGTGATTATTTCTGTTTAAAATGATTTCATATTTGGTATTTTTTTCAGTTCATCAGAATAGGGGGCAGGATCAAAAGTGAAAAGTTGCAAAATGAACTGGTAAGCTCTGGTATTGTTATGCAGAGCACTCTTCTTTCTTTTGCATTAGAGAGTGCGATTTTTGTAAATGACAATTGAGCTATTGTTCCCAACTGGTCATGCATGAATTGCCAAATTTTTACTATCAGAAATTAAAATTCATGTACTTTGGTCCCTTGTCTAAATAACAAAATGCCGTAAGAGGATTTGGCCATAATAATAAAACTGAGACATTATGTTTGGCCATCAACTTTCTGAAGCATCATGCAAATAGTTTACTGTTGAAATAGTCCGGCAATAAGGCAATTAGAATGCAAAGTCGAACAAGAGCAGTGAATTTCTCAACTTTTTAATTTGAATTTTGCGCCTTATTATTTTGATCAACTGCACGTTTCACGACAAAAAAAACCATTACAAATGGCGTAAAATAATAAAAAGGAATAATTCTACTTTTTAATATAGATGGTTATGCCATGACAAGAGAGATACAATCGATCAAACATGAGATCCCAAATTTTTGTGAGGGGGCTATAATTCTATATAGATTCTTTAAAACACAAAGCAAGAATTCATAATTTACAGTATCACTCTTAAAGGATTTGAAACTTTATTTAAGTATTGATCCGTTACTAACCCCCTTGACAAAACTTCAACGACCAATTATGACTTCTTTCAACGACTGCAACCAGGGGCGGCGATTTCTTTTCATGACGGGGGGGGGGGGGGACGACGAAATGCGAGGAACGAGGGTGCAGTTGCGTAATGAGCAAAAACGTTGGGGGGGGGCAGAAAAAAAATCCGCATCACCACCACTCTTACATGTTACGCAGGCCCTGGCAATTTTTTTTCAAAGTGGGGAGGGGGCTAAAGTATTTCAATCAGAGTTTGGGGTCCAGGGGCAAAGCCCCGGAGGGGAGGGGGTGGTAGTGAGCTAGTGAGGACTAATTTCTTTCTTTTTTGGCCCTCGAAAATTTGAAAAATCCAAAATCCAAATCCAAAAAAAGGTAAAATTAACGTGTTTTTTTCCCAGGGATGGAGGCCCGGGCCCCCGTGTCCCCCTCCAATGGATCCGCTACTGATGATTACAACAGTAATAACCCAACCAAGAAAGTTATCCATTGTGATTCTGCCAAGATTCATTGTCAGTCGAGTTTGCTGGAAGAAGGTACACAGGGAAATGTAAATTACTTTGAAGGGAAATTCAGTTAGCATTGCAGCTTATTTACATCGCTTCGCTCCAGTTAATAACGTACTCATTACAGTCTATTTCATTACTACCACGCCCCCTCCCTATATCTCTTTCTCTCTTTCACTCTCTCTCTCTCTCTCTGACTTACCTGTCTGTTTCTGACTTTCCTGTCTGTCTGTCTGTCTGTCTTTCTCTCTCCCGGCTGCGTTATTTTCTTCTGCGGCACAGATCGGGGCTTTTTTTAAGGGGTCTTGATTTAACCCTAACCCTCACCCTAAACTTTCCCATAGGCTCAACACGCACCTAACCCCAATCTGTGCCGCCGAAAAAAATAACGCCTCCCGGCTCGCTGTAACCCTTTCTCGTCCTTCCTCCCTACCTCCCATCTCCCCTCACACAGGCACGTTGTCACGAAGGGGGGGGGGGGGGGGGGGGGGCACGTGCCCCCCTCCAAAAAAAAAACAACAAGATCGGTTGAAATTTGTTAGACCCCTCCCCAGGACGGCGATCAATTACATGTAAACTATGTGCCCCCCAACAAAAACAAAAAATATCAAACTCTGGCTACGGCCCTGCCCTCACGTCCACTTTCTCTCTCTCTCTCTCTGAAAACTCAGGGTGCCGCTATGACAATCATTTGACAAAAATGTGACAAACATTTACCGTTAACATTCTGGGAGTAATGACAGCAGGCCTACTTTCAAATTAATCAATAATGTTAATAAAAAAGACAGGAAAAATAATCATGAATAATGAAACATAGCATACCCGTTGTCCGTTCTCAGCCATCTTTTTTCAGATCACGTTAAATGCATATTGTATAAAACCAGGCAATTCCAAATGTATCGACCTGATGTGCACAGCTGCTGGCAACAGAACACGAGTTCATTAACGGAAGTACATACTGCAAAGAGCAGAAGATCACATTATGTATAGTATGCCTACAACGGTTTACATGTATGTGTAGATGATGTGTGCATGCACGTTATACCATTGAACCTTGAACCTGATCATGATGGAGGGAGGGAGTCGGGTGGGGAAAACCATGAATATGAGCCAAGTAATAGCGCCAGCTCTCGTCTCAAGCTTGTCAGCAAGGGTAAAGAATGATATGCCAGCCATTTGGGGAGAGGGGGACGGGGGGGGGGGGGGGGGGGGGTGATGGGGTGATGGGGGGGGGGGGGGGATATTTTACGACTATTCTTAGGAAGCGGTCATTCGTCATGACATTATTTTTATCTAGGCCATCTCTCATCTGATATTGTAGGCCTACTTACCCATGCATGCTGAAACAAACATTAAAGCCCGTCTGAACTGGTTTGGCAAGGGCACTGACAGGTGGTTATTTCATCAAATCAGCTCTCAATTAACATAAGAAAAAGGGGATCATGCATGGGGGACCAACAGGCTCCGATTACTTTTGTTTGCTATATATAGAGGGCGCAAGTAGCTATAATGTCGTGCAGTGGGGAATTAAGAGTTGCTGGGATTTCTTTTCTATCTTATTGTTTCAAATAATTTAAGCAAAGTGGACACGAGACAGGTGGCCTTTATAAACAGGTTCCCCAAGATAATGCGTAATTCCTTTAATTTTAAACAAGCGGATTTTATAAAGATACATGTAACGGGTTGAATGAAGGATTAGGCTACACTCACAGAAAGCTAACAAACTTTTAAAAACGTTTAAGTAGCAGGACAATTTTTAATTTATTTTAAAATCATTTTTTAGTGACCCCAGTGACCCGCTATCACATGCAGACAGTGGACATTATTGCCACTATACTTCACATAATTACTTTGAGCATGTTGTAGTCATACAACGGGATTGTGGCACATTTTGACACTCCACACCGACCCCGAACATAATATAAGGCCGAGTGGTAAAGTCCCGCCCCCCCCCCCCCACTCAGTGGTCGGAATGACCGCATGCGTGTTGCCATAATGTCTGGTAAAGGGGTACTTTTCGTGCGACAAAGTCCGGCCCGAGAATTGTAAAAAAAAAGGGGTGTATTTGACTTTTAACCCGGAGATTTCTTTAAAAGGGGGTCTTTTTTATTTTTTTTTTCATCTCTTTGGACTCCTGAGAAATTATTCCGAATTTAGGGGGGTACATTGAGCATTTTTCCTGATTAAGGGGGTCTCCAAGGCAGGAAAAGCCCGCGGAAAGCCCGCGAAAGGGGGGTTCGAAAATGTTGGCAGTCCTCAGATAGGGGGTGCTTTCAAAAAGAGGGAACGAGCATTATGCGTACCCTAAATAACACTGAGTGGGGGGGGGGGGGCGGGGGTAAAGTAAAGGGTTAAATCAATTCTTGGTTGTCAAAATGACAATTAAGGCAAGGATATGGTTCTGGTAATTAAGTGATAGTGGTGGTTATTTCACCTGACAGCTAATAAAGCAATAAATAGTTAGTAAGCAACCAGAAGACCGACGGCTTAAGGGCCTCCATGAGCTAGGGACCTGATAATGAGGATTAATGCCTTAATTACCAAAGGGCAATATAGCGCATCAACTTGGTTTCGAAGCAGGGTCACCGGATAACGAGACCAATGCTCTACCGACTGAGCTATCGAAAATAAAACTATAACAAAATCTGTACTCAAAATGGAAGGAAGAAGGAAGATAATATTTTGGTAGAAAGTGTATTGTAGCTGAGTAATGAGCATATAGATTAGGAAATCCGGGTAAGCTAATATAGGCCGGACACCAAGTGCACTATGTGCAAATGGGATTTGTGGTTTTTATTTTTTAACTTCATTTCATTTCATTTGTTTCCACAATAACAGCAAATAAATTTACAAAGCTTTTTGTTTTCAAAAGTCATTCCAATTAGAATTTTAACAAATGAGAAATATATATAACGTGCAATGCAGTAAAAGCATATAGTGAGACAAGCTAAGAAGATAAATGCTTGCTGTATTCAAGCGCGTAGGCAGGATTTTATCATAGGGGGCGGTAGTGAGCGCGCGTAGCGCGCTCCCTAGAGGGGTGGGTGCAGGGAGGGCGGAGTTTTCCCCCTCCCGCGCGAAGCGCGAAAGCTTTGACAGTTCATTAGATTACCAGAGAAAGAAGGCGATTCGTTGTACCGTTCTCGACTCTCAATTCTTGTTGAATCAAGTTCCCCTTCCTCCGCGCGTAGCGCGCGGAATCTCTGACGTTTCATTAAATTATTAAAGAAAGAAGACGATTCGTTGTACCATTCTCGACTCATAATCATTGTTTGAATTCAGTTTGCCCCCCTCCCGCGCGAAGGGCGGAAGCTTTGACGTTTCATTAAATTATTCGAGAAAGAAGACGATTCGTTGTACCGTTCTCGACTCTAAATCCTTTTTCTTCCTACGTCCTCTTCCTTTCTTCTTTCTCTCTCCTTTTTTTTTGGCCGGCGTTTTTTTTTTTTTTTTTTGGGGGGGGGGGGACCACCCCCACCGCCCCCCCCGCCCCCCCCCCCCCCCCCCCCCCCCCCCCCTGGCTACGCGCCTGGCTGTATTGCGGAGGAAACATATCAGGGAGTCTATATATCACCTCCCTGGTTTTTATCGTAGAAGATGCCCGCAATGATTGTGCATTTTTCACTGGTTCAAACAAAGCAATCTACTGCAGAATAAACAATCCAGCATAAATCATGAGAATTCTCTCTCAAAAATAGATTCACATACCATGAAGAGCTCAAGATTAGCTTTTTAAGGTAAATAGACTATTTTCCATATTAAAATAGATGAACTATTACCCCAATCATCCTTTACGACAGTGGTTATTTAAGCCGACTATATAGAGCCTTTATTCTGTGGCGTATCCAGAAAATGAATTCGGCATCAATGATATGCCCCCGCTCCCGCTCCCCCTCTCAGTTTGAAAAATATACCACCTCTATTATGTACCACCACCTCCCCCTATGTCCACACGAACCGTCAATATCCCCGTGATCTTGGAAAATGAAAGTTTGGAATGGTAAATATCCCCTCTCCCAGATATAGTCCGCGTACGTCGCGTGACGCACGTACGCGCCATGACTATTGTAAAAACAATTTTATGTTGATTGTTCAATCTCCACATCTAGTCGAACCTGCTGGGACAGACAAGTTACCATTTGGCTTGTAAATTGTACTTTATTCGCTTTACGTTCTTTAGAAAGGGATCATTTTCTAGTTTCAAATGTAGAAAAAGGCGAAAGTGTTTGATTTATGAGGAAAATCAGGTAAGTTGAGACATGATGCTTCATCAAATTTGTAAAACATGTTGCGGTCGCTAGCCTCTGAGCTGCGTTTGTGTGTAATGGCATCATGAAATGTGTGCATGTTGAATGCTTGGCTACAGTGGAATTTCGAGAGATGTGTGTGCCACTCCTACTCCGACTCGCATGCTCAGCTCAATGAGCATGATGAGACAACCGACCCGCCCGTCCCGGCGCAGCTGGCTCGGCGCGAACGGTTGCACGGTTCCAGTCCAATACGAATATGAGTGGAGTCATGGATGTGGTCATGTTGTAGTAGTAGTAGGCCTAGTCATTCCTCTATTTAAAATACAATCGAGATCATCTGCGTAAAGTTATCATACTCATGACTCGTGTCATAGACTAGAGTTAGAGGAGTAGACCTAGATCTATTAATTTGTCTGATATTAGACTAGACCCTAAATTGTTATAAATAATGTGTGTGGTCTGTGGACATGGCACAAAGAGATCTGTCAAAATCTCTGTGGTGTGACGTAATATTACGTATTGACTTTGCCATTGAACTTGAGTTAAGTAGTTCCTCTTGCACTTAAATTCGAAGCCACTCGAGTGGACCGGCCAATGAGAGTGCGTAAAATCGTTGTACAGCGCTAGATGCACAAAGTTCTTCGTGCATGGTGGAGCTGCCAGGCACATACGCATTGGGGTGGTTTTGGGGGTTAAACCCCCCCCCCCCTCAATCTTTTTTTAATGTTTGGGGTTATTTTGTTCATGTACAGGATGTAAATCAAGGATGACGTCAATACTGTATACAGTTAGACCTCATGCATTGTAGGAGTGCTCATACCCAATTTAGCTGAATTCAGATGATATTTTAAGTGTGCATCATTTTACACCCATCGCTTTTGTTGTGCCTTTACATGTAGGCCCCAAATTCTAACTGTATCCCTGAATAGTAAACTTAAACAGGAAGCCAGTACATACAGACTGCAAAAGTGTCAAACCAGGGGAGTGTTTCACAAAGACTAAGATGGACTTAAGTTGGACTTAAGTTGGACTTGAGTTGGACTGGAACTATGACAGGCCGTTCATGCCACTGGTTGCTCTAACAATTCCCGGCATTGAAACCATTGTATAAATCGTGGCCACAAATCATATATATCTTCTAGTTGTCTGTTTTTTTAAAAACTCTATCATGCTCACAAAGCTGATCTCTAATAACATATTATGTTTGATTTCTTATTCTTTCCCAACAGATTGTGGTAAATACTATATAGTCATCGCTTCATGTCGTTTGCACACCTAGATGTACATTGTAGCTTGAAGCATCACGTTTTGATTGAAGTCATCTCCACCCTTCCTTACTGTAGGCTCGCATCATCATCGCATGGGTGGTAGAGAGTGAGATTGATTCCTATCTTACCGACCACTGAGACCACTGATCATCAGGATGAGTCTTACCAGTGGACTCACCAGGCCTAAGAGAATGGCTGTTGGCATCCTCTTACTCCTTGTAGTGGATATCATTTGGGTCGTGTCGTCAGAGATAACTCAGGTAAGCTCCAATAGTGAAGTTGTTTTAGATTTCTTCTTTTTTTTTTCCTTCTCTTTCTTTCCCTTTTTTCCCTTTTTATATTTTATAAACCCATATAAATATCTTGTGAAGACCGTCACGTGGTTCTGTGACACATTCTTTAGCGAATATTGCTACACTATCCATATCCTACACTAACGCTCATCCTGGACCAGTAACTACATGTATTCCTAGCTCTTTAAACCCAATTGCAAGCTGAAACCTGTACATGTTTATCTCATGAAATAATGTCTAGAGCATAGTGTCACCAGAGGACTTGTCGCGTCACCAAGTACATGTATGTACTCACAGATATGAAAAGGCAACCAGTGAACCCATGAGGTGGTACAGGATGATTGTCATAAATCTCATGGACTGAGTTTTAGACTCTAGATCTCCTTGTTCCATATCCTTGTTCCAAGACCATTGCTCTTCTTATGTCTGCTGCTCGTGAGACATGGGGGGTGTTTCACAAAGATCTTACAGGCCTTAAATTTCAACATTTTTAGGGCAAGGCCACTTTTCTGCAGGGCACATTGCTATATTACAGCACAAATGGGAAGAACTGGAAAGGGCACAACAAATCTCCAAGGCCAATGAGAGGGGCATTGAGGCCAATCAAAGGGGCATCCAAGGCCATGGCCTTGGTGGCCTTGGATTAATTTAAGCCCTGATCTTAAGTTGGACTTAAAAATTATGGAAAGCCGTTAGCATCTTTGAAAATATTGTAAAAGTTATTTTAAAAGGCATAAATTGTTTATTCAAATCATTCATATTTTCTATTATCATAGAAGATTTCATGTTCTTGATGTGGAATTTATTAAAAGTAAAAAACACTGTAATTTTTTGCTTTTGAATATACAGCATTTCAAAATAAGGCCATAAATGGCTCTCCATAATATTTCAGCCCATCTTAGAGTCAAGTTCGACTTCAAATCTTTGTGAAACACCCCCCATGGTGCGATGACATAGGATAGTGTCAGTGACCTGCTTGGTCGTTGCTGCATGCCATCAAGATCTTTCAGACATACATAGAAGTAAACAAAGGTGTAATGTAAAATGAATAGTGCCGACATTGCATTGATCCAGTGCATGAGCTAATTGCCTTCATAGGCATAAGCTTAGGTATAATGCAATCAAAATGGAGCCTCATATATGGAACGGGTATTACTGAGCTACCACACTCAACTTTGTCACAACATTAGAGTCTTAACATTTCTGATCTGCATCATCTTTTTGTTATATGAAAATTGGTAATTTAAGACTTTTCTGTGGAACCTGATATCTGATTCTCCTACAGTATATTCTCTTACTCTTGATTTAAATTTCCTCTTTCCAGTTGCCATGGAAACCATAGGCATTAAAGCAATGTTTAACTTACATACATGTAGGTCTAATGTAAATACAAAACTCCATACATGTGCAGAGCGAAATTGTTTCAAAGACAGTCACACTCACTGCTGACTGAAACTGCTGAGAAATTTGTCCACAATTACCAATCTTTAGTGTGAGTGTTCTTTTGTGCAGTAACCATGGAAACTTGTAGCTACTAGCTTGGATATGACCTGATTACAGGCTTACATCGTGAAAAACCCTTCATTCTGCATACCAGTAGATTTTCACTGATCAAATCTAATTTGAATTACAAAGTTTATGTCATGTATACAAACTACAAATGGTTGTGATAATACACTGTTTTTCGTCCATGTGCATCACTGTATTGACAGGGTACAAATACCATAGAGTGAACACCCTTGGAATAACGAATCTAGTCTACATGTACTCTAAGTAATTTATTCATTACATGTATATATGTACATATATTATTCAATCGGTGTATTAACACCTTTTTAATTCTACTCTGTCATCTCTGCATGAATTTTAAGAGCTTGTAATTTGTCATTGTGAGTGCCCTGTACATGTACATGTACTGTACGTTGCGTATGTTGTTGTATAGGGTAGCTGATGAAGTTGTTAAAACTTTAATTTGATGGAAATACATGTACACCTGTACACCTGTACGTAAGATAGGCTTCTTATGAACTAATCAAAAATAATTTATCTTGAAAGGTGGCAGGTGGCAAAAAATATGAGGGTAACTTGTGAATTGTTATTTTATAGTCCTCCAGGAATTACTTAATGTATTAAATAACAAACAGTCAGCAGCAGCAACAACAACAACAACAAAACAGCTACAATAAATATTAGCATCTTAAAAAGTTGTTGATGTTCATTTATCATGTAATATTTTGAAAATTGTATTTGCATGTGAGTGGATGTATTTCATATGTTCTCATTTTGTATTATGGACCTACAAGAGATGTATTTAGAAAAGAAAACTATGAAGATATGAAGAATACTGTGAGCCATATGACTAGATAGTATGTGTGTATTGTCTGTTTGTTTTGGCCTGTTCAGTGTCCAAACACCATGGTCCTCCTCCTCTTCCTCTATGTACACAGAGTCAGAGAGGAATTAATATATTCCTGAATCCTGACTAAAATGAACCAAGCTTCTCAATTGATTCCCAGGCCACTATGCTTTGCAGGGATTCTGTGACCTAGTGACAGAGCCTCAAGCTAAATGGGTGACTTGATAAGCCGCTTCTCACTCCTGTAATTGCATTGGGGGTTCCCATTGAGACAGAGTGAAAAGTGTGCCAAGAGATACTGAAAAACAGAATACAGTGTAGTTTTTCTTTATGCGAAGGAGGGATGAAAATATCTTCATAAGTGTACAGTCTAACCTGAGAAAGCTCACCTAGTATCTCCTTGGCCCAATTAAAGAATAGGATTCAATTTCTATTCCAAGTACATCAATTACGTGAATATTTATAAACATCTGTAACAAGTGGAATATTTTTAGATACTGGTAGTACAATCATAGAGCTCTCCATTTGGAGTAGGAGTTCATAATTTCTCCTTGAATAGTTAAAGGTACATGGATGAAGCATTGGCAGGCAATAAATGGCATGCAAATGTGCCCTTTAGCCTGTGTATCATGCTTTAATATGACCTGTATACATTTACTATGTAGACTACAATTATGTTCATGGTGCTCAAAATGCCCATTCCAGTGAGCTGTTGAGATATGGACATTATTATTTCTCTTGAATATGCACAATGTAGCTGGTCTGTGCCAATGTTATCAACTTGTAATAATACCTGGTACACAAGTACGGTATACATTGTATGTGTTCTCTTTGTTTTGATGAGTATCTAGTTATGCCCTACAAAGTATGTACATACAGTATGTTATTTGTTGATGTTAAACCATATGATACATACTTTACATACGTGAAAATTTAATCTTAATATGCAGATTGATCTGTACATGGCATGAGCTTATTGCATCGCCAGTGAAGGCAATGACATTTGTTTATCCATTTTTTTGTATTGTTTCTTTTCTTTTCTTGTTGAATAAAAAGCATCAATGCTGGCACTTTGCACCGTTATGCTGCTGATTCTGATTGCTTATAACTACTGTATTTAATTTTGTTTCCTACTCTCATTCTATTCTTCAGTATATCTTCAAGGATATTGGATACGACAAGCCGTTCTTCTCCACCTATCTCAAGACGTCCATGTTCATGCTGTATCTTCTAGGTTTCTTGTTTTGGAGACCGTGGCGACGGCAGTGCTTGGATTGCTTTGAGAAGCCCAAAACTCTGGTAAGCACCAAATTGAAGGCCAGAATAGCCCTCAGATGTTTGCCAACTTCATATGGAGCTCTTTTGTAATGTGCAACAAAAGACTTTAATTCTCCCTTTAAATAAGAAAAATGGTAGAGATTTTGACAATTTCAGAAGACTGACCACTACCTCTGTATACTTTTAGTATTTGGGTTGAATGGACTCTTTGGGACGAGAGTTAGCATCCAACAACACTATGGCAGTTAAGACCACTATTCTAGATTCCGCCAGAGCAAAGAAATGTTATGAAAAGGGGAAATGGTGAGCAGCAAATAGGACTTTATTTCATTTTATTTCTTTAGCCCAGTTGCCTTTACCTTATCCTAGATTTATTGAAGATATGTAATGATCAGATAACCTTCGCTTGTACTGTTTTTGTATCTTGACTGCTCTTCATGAAGCTTCATTTGTACCCTATTTATATAGAAAGGTCATTAAAAACAATGTATGTACATGTACATGAACCCCAGAAAGATTGATCAAAAATATGAAACATTATATTTTCATTCTTTGTTTCCAATCATCTTTTAAGTCAATGTATGGCAACATTTCAAAGTTCTGAGCCTGCATGCAAAATCAGACTATGTAATAGGAGTTCAGTAACATTCCTTACATGTATGTTCAGAAAGACTTCCTTCATGTGTAAAGGCTACCTGGATAAAAAGATATGTTGGATATTGGTAGAGTCCCAAGAAGGATGTTTACGACAGGAGTGCGTGTTGTCAAGGTTACTTGGCAAAACAAATCCAGCTGTTAAAAAAATAAATAAGAAAAAAAAAGAAGAAAAAAAAAAGGATGTTTTCCTGCAGGAGGTCAAGAAACATTGATGTTCTAAACAGGAAGTAGGGTTTTGAGTTCCTGAGGATTGTAAAAATTTGCTTTGCGATGTAATCAGGTTCAAAATGTAACTCAGGGTTTTGTAGGCCTACATGTATGCATTGTAACTAAAGGAAAGAAAGTTGGTCCCATTAAGAAATCAGTATTAAGGTTTAGATAGGGTGTAAAATAAAACAAATAACTGATTTATCCCATTTGAAACATGATTTGACATATCCCAAAACTGCACCAGTGCCAATTCCTACCCCAGAGCACATTCCTACCCCAGTTCTCCAAATGAAGTCTTTTTGGTCCAAGTCAACATACTGTGGGATTACACACGGTCGGCTCACCTTCAAAAGAAAGTACTTTCTATGCTTTCTATTTGCTCTAAAGCCTTCCAAGCATCTATTACCAAACCTGTTGTGTTTCACACACTAACCCTTTCAAATAAGGCTTGATTTTATCCTGTCTGCACACATAAAACATAAATAGACCAGCTAACAAAAATAAAAGGGGGAGGGGTGAGCAGAAGCATTACAGTCGGGTGTTTATTGAGGTAGGAGAAAAACCCTTTGTATTCAACATGGCTTCAGTCTACTGCATGCCCGGAAGAACAGATAAAAGAATATTGTTTGCTAAGCTGTATGTTTTGTCAATAAGGAGTATTCAAAAACTTTGTATTGTTATTTTATGCACTCATTGGGGTCACTGTGCATTCATTTGGATCTGTGCCCAAAAGGGCGTTTCTGAATATAGGGGTAAAAACAAGTTTGGATGTATGTACATGTATGGTACATATTGTAACAAAAAGGTGAATTACAATAAGGTCATGTAAGCAGTTTCTTCATTTTGAAGAGAGAAACAATCTCTTTTTTGTAAGGAAGCCAATCATTTTTTAAATTATTTTCTCTCTAATTTTCTTATTGGTGGTGACCCAAGTTGTTTTATATCTAGCTATGTATGTAGAAGCTACGTTCATGAACTTTAAGGCTACATGTACATGTAGGCCCACGTGTCTATTGATAAAGAGTTATGTTTTTAAGTGTAACTTTCAATTAGTGATTGGAAAGCTATAATGCAAAATTTTGATTTTGTTTGACAACTAGCCAAGTATGCTCTTTTTCAAACCCAGTGCTAGAGATAAGAATTATCTTGCAACATTAATAAATAATTTAGTCTACCGTACACATACCTGCCAACCACCCCGATTTAGGCGGAGTTTTTTTTAATTTTTCATACCAACTCCGAATTCCGAATGCATGCCTCAAAACTCCGATTTTTTAAAAAAAATTTAATTTTTTTTTTTTTTTTTTTTAATTTTTTTTTAGAGTGTAATGCACTTGGAGAGTATATAACTATTATGTTTGTATTTCGAAATGTAAAGCACCTTGAGCATGTTCATGTAAAGACGCTCAATAAATACCAATATGTATGTATGTATGTATAAGACTAAAGCATAACACAGCACTGATAACCAGATCACGCCGACATCCGCGCTCGAGCTCATAGAAGACATACACAGCGCAGCCCGAACTTGATCGTTAGTTCCCCCCCCCCCCCAATCTACGGGCTACTACCCCAATCCTTCGGTGGTTCGCGACCTCGTAGTCCATCCAGAAAAATTTACTCCTAATTTCTCTTGTCTCAGGTTGGCAGGTATGCGTACATGTCAGTCATTAACAGAACGAGAAGCATGGGAATACAAACTTGTGCTATGATATTTGAAGATGTCAAAACAAATAAAAGCAAGATGGGTTTGGGAACTACATGTATGTCCTGTGTTATGTTGTATTTAACGTCATCATTCCACTTCAAAATATGTAGCGATCCTTGTTTATCTATTGAGAAAGATTGTGACTGACCAAAGTCTTATTTGTGTGTATACATGTAGATTGTGTACATGTGCAATCTCATCTGTATGATGTGTACTTTTTATTTCAGCATTTGCACGTAGGTCCATGTTCCCCTACATTTAATCTTCCCAAAGAAGTGTGTTGAACTTGTACATGGAGGTCTTTATCATACATGCTCTTCTTGAAAGATAAAAAAAAAAAAAAATCATACATGATTCATTGATTCTACCTACATGTACCGTATGCCAATATCTGCACTGTAGATCATGTTATGCTACGGTCACAAAGGTTCGTGCAAAAGATAAATTTGTACGAATCTCCCTGCTTTTCCATTGTCTGAAAATCGTTCGTACAGCATTTGTAGTAGTTCTTAATGGCATTTGTGACCGAGGCTTTAAGCAGTCCAAAAAACAACTTCAAATATCAAGTTGATCTCTAGTCTTATCAAACTCCTAAATCACATGCAGGCCTTTATTTCTCTGGATTTAAGTTTTGTGTATAATTTTTTTTTCCAAAGAATTAGTGGGATTCCTTAAAGTAATAGTAGACATGACGCCTGAAAGGTTAAAAAATGATATATGTGCAATTCCAAGGAATTCGTTCATATTTGTGTCCCATACATCTTTACCAATGAACATTCAACACATCATTTTCCTTTATAAACTGAATCTATTGATTTGAATCGAGATCTTGTAGGCCTAGAGTAGGTATCAATTTATAGCACTATTTATACATGGCAAAAAATACCTTGGATATGCATTAAACATATGTATGTGTGCAGATTTTGGCTGTTTGGCTGTACAATGTAAATATTCTCTTCTTGATATTCTGATCTTGCACGAGTTGTTTACTTTTTTCATTAAATGCCTCTATATATCTGCATAAACAAACAAAAGTGTAATTAAGAAGGATCTGACCTGAGTTGTTGATCATAATGCACACTGTCCGGTCAGTACATGTTCACTCAGATTTGGAAGTTGGCCAGGTCAAATATTGTAAGATATTTGACCTGGCTTAACAGGTCAACAAACTTGTTATTATTATTACTCACTACTCAAATAGGGTCAGGTAAATAACTGTAAAGTACAGGTTGACAAACTTTGAAGTTTTCATATATGGAGGATCGTTTAATGTTATCATCTGTGTTAAAACATTGGTCCCGTAGGCTGTATTCATAGAGACATAATGGAAGAGTTTACTTTATCACTTTGACAACCAATTTTATTTAAGATTTTTACTTTAAAGAGTGAAAAGGTGAAAGAAAGTTATGAGTTACAAAATGGAACAAAAATGACCAAGATGTGTTCCTTTACATGTTTACTTCATGTACCATGTAGCTACTTGTCATCATGAATATATCATCTACACTGTAGTAAATCCATGATGGAAATTGTAAAGAAAGTGAACAATCTATCAATGTATTTGATAAGGTAAAACACATCTTATTCATGAGAAATTTGAAAACTTATTGGATTTTGAAACATTCAAATGAAAATTACAGTGAAAATAAATACCAGTATACAGTATTTACAATCATTTGAATTAAAAATGTACTCTTCACATACAGTGTATGTTTTACAGTTGTATAATCATGAAGTACATATTTTGTTCATAATCCTATGTTTGTCTTTTTTCAGAATATTGATGAGAATTCAAATGACGATGAAGATGTACTTGTTTGCACTCAAGAACATTTACTGGTAAGTTATATTAAAAAATTATGAATGCTACAAATTTGTGATTTCTTTGAAACCAAATATCCAGGGTTCTTTTTAGTGAGCTCTATAGTTGAAGGTAAAGACCAGTTTTGGAAACGCCCCCCTCTCAAAAAGTGAAATGGAAGCTCTTACATGTATTACCAATCATGTGAAAGAATATGTTTTGACTAATTCAAAATATATACAGGATAGAAGTTGTAATTTCTTGTCATTTTGATGATTCCAGAACCTTGCAATACACACCAATACTTATATGCTAGATGATCAACCTTTCTGATCGATTCCACAACGTTTCTTTTACAATGCAATCGCATGACCATAGCTGGTCTTTATCTTTAAAATGTTGCTGGCTGCTCTCATGTTTTCATTAGTCTTTCTGATTCTTAAAACATATTTGGCATGCTGTCTGTCCCCGGGTGATTGTACATGTATCCAGGCCTGTTCACCTTGACAAGGGGCTTCCAGTACCTTCCAGAGTGCATGCAACCAGTCAACCTGACTGTTCAGATTTCACACCTCTCTGATTTATGCATATTTTACACAGTTTTATTTGCCGGTGGCTGGCTCTCTCAGCCATATCCGGATATATGAATTCAGCCTTGAGTTGTAAACATTGAAAACTAAAGACTTCCATTTGTGGTTTGAAGATACGTATGCATTGTTTGCATGAGTCATTGTTAATTACTGTTATACGTGGAGGATAACATGCACTTTCTATGTGTACGTTAAACATGGCATAACATTCAATCACAACATTCAGTCACAGCATGGGGATTGTATATACGTGATTATTAGCATACAGTTTACACAGTTCTTAATGGTTGTCCAAATCAAATTTAATATACTGAAGGTCTATATTAAGTTGGCAAACAATTAACAATTTTCTAAACATGCATCAGGCATCATTGAATTCATTGAGTAACTACATTTACATGTAGGTCTTAGGCTTCAATGTACAAGTGATTTCTGTTGACCCCCCCCCCCCCAAATGAGAGAGAGAAACAACACTGTATGAATGGAAGATGAAGTAAAGATGTAAAACATATTGGCCTAAATACAGAATGCTGATACGTTTTAATATGTTTAATTATCAGATTTACTCATTTAAAACCATGGTGACATCCTTTTTGTGACATGTCATAATACAGATATGTGGAGATAAAAATGAATTTTGTGTGCATTCAACCATTAAGTAATTATCTGTAGGTGATATGAGTTCCTGAGTCATAAACATGACTCATTTGCTCATTGCTCTACCTGTACGCTGTAGACAGGCAGGCAGGCTGAAGTCACTTTGATTGCAAACCAGTGACCACAAGACACAGTGATGCATGCATTAATACATCAAAATGAAAACGATATTCAATATTAAAGTGTGGAGAAAATGGTACCCTTATGCAAAAGATATGGCACTCATATTACATGTATTTGAGTCGGGTGATACTACAGTATATACTGTCCATGAAGGTGCAGGCATGAAGATTTTGTTTTTATGTGTATGTACATGTACATGTAGATGTGCTCTAGCCTAGATTTTAGCACCAACAACAACAAATTCTGGTTTGAATTAAGCCATAAACCTATCCACAATGTATCTTCAATTTAAATGTCCTAATTCATTCTTGTGAACATAATTTCTCCTGTATGTTAAAAGTATTTTCCATTAGCAAATGAGATTGATACAGGGGTAATCTAATTATAAGCAAATCCTTTTAAAGCAAAACGAAGTTGTTTACAAATTTATGGAAACTGTACATTGTACATTACATGTGATGCCATGGGGACTCAAGGTTTTACTCAAAAGTTATCTATGAAACTCGATTTTAAACACACCAAACACGTCCTCATTACACTGATACACAAGATTTGTCATGACGACCACAAAAATAGGTGTCTTCTGCATAACCAGGTCTCTGGATCCGGCTTGTGATTATTTAAACATGTGTACATGTTAATCTATGAGTTCTACATTTTGCTTTTCTTCTCTTTGAGCAGACCTGTTGTGTAGTAATAGCACGTACAAACCCCAGTTATTCATTGGGCGTAACAGCTTGCTGTTGTTGTTGTGATTAATGGTGTTTCCATCGTCATTGGATGATTTTCGCCAAGCGTCTGCACTATGAGACTATATAGGCACTGTACTTTAGCCAGAGACTGACATATGTAGGCTCTGCTCAAGGCTGTAGAAATTGTGGTAAAGTGTGAAATTAGAGTCACAATAGAGTCTGTGCTTCCAGACTACATGTTACGAGGCAGGATCATTATCTAGAATTCGCATAAATTGGGGGCGGGTCATTTTGAAGTCAATGCAAGTCACAAGAAATTGAGGACACAATATGGGATTAATGATTGCTGTAATTATAACTTAGTGACAGGTAGGTAGGAAGAGGCTTATTTGGTTGAATCAGGATGATCAAGTGTTCATCACTGACAGCAAGATTGCCAAGGGGCAGGGCAGCCAATGAGAGTATAACTGACCCCAGTAATGGCTTTAGCATATGCTAGAAGTACAGGCTGATAAATGAGAGGTTCACAATCATGTCTAGAGTGGCAGCATACTCCCCCGTGCTACCCCGCCCCACCCCCCCCCCCCCATCCACCCCAGCATGTTCCAGCTGTTGTAATTAGAACCACACATGAAAAATAAATGTATTCAACTATTCAACGTTTTTGAAAGGAGGAAATGTACCATGTATGTATGACCATGTCATGCGGTATCATATGTTTCAGGAACAGACCTTTGGATGCTATTCAAATAGTTTTGTGTACCGGTAATTGATAATCATTGCTTTGTTTACATATTACAGCACCTCCATTTCATAGGTGAAATATAGAGATAAAGCAGTGCTGATGCTGAGAGTGAGAGACGATGTATTTATAGCAGTGTGAAGAGGGTAGTGATAATGTGAACAGTCCCTCACACCTTCACACTGACTACATGTAGGCCACATCATTACCTCAGCGCTGCCAGAGGCCCATGACTTCTTCAAAATACTCTTTATCTTTCCGTTTGTTACAGAAATGTGCATACGCTTGGAATAATTGACATGATTATTGACAGTATTTGCTGGAACCCTGAAGATTTTCTTCCTGCCTTAGGTCTTAGGTTTAGTCTCCTATCACAGACTCTGAATGGAGATTTAAAGAAAGGCAATATTCAGTTTGACTATGGTTCAAGGCCGTAACATATCGGTACTCCTCGTCAGAAGAGGCTTTTGATGCTCATCCCCCGCCCCCAAAGATTGCATACTTGATCAATGAAGATTAAAATATAATAATTACATTTAAGTCTTTGTAAAGTGATAATTATTTGTGAAACTTTTAATCCATGTTTTCTTGTCTTTCTTGCAGAGTGATCCTTTATATGTTCCTGTCAAGTTCAATGACAGTGATAAAGAGAACAGTAGGAGTAGCAGTTTCAGCGAGCCAAATGATTCTTGTAAGTTTATCCAAATTATGAGATATTATGGATTTTAACTGATTTGTGTTAAAGATATAAGCTCAGTTTGGTTTTTAGTAAGACCATTTTCTACCTCTTAAATCAGACAGAGCACAGTGTCCACCAAAGGGGAAATTCAGTTTGTCGTCGAGTTGGTCTAGTTATCGGCTTGAATCCATGAAATGAATCAACATTTAAATCTAGGGTTTCCTTAATTGCTGGTGTTCAAGGAATTATTAATCATTCTTTCAATCATAGATTCCATCCAGACTTTCTGGCACATTTCCCTAGTGTTATTTAAAAATAAGGAGAAGATAAATATATATCATTGTGTTCCATCCTGTTCAGAGTCTACAAATTTACATTGAATCCATATTTGCTGAATGTTAAACCTTCCAGTACGTGTACTACGGTATTTGAAAGTGGAGAATTGATTCAAAAGTCTAAATTTATTACCTATAGTGTTCATGTACATGTAGGTGAAAGCAAGGTGTGAGGTGTTCCAACTGAAACAATTATCTTTTTAATAGATTTTAAAATGATGTATTTCTTTCCCTTTGCAGCTACATTGAATGCAAGAGTTCGATTCAGTAATTTGATGGAAGTCAGACACTTGTCAGGTAAGCATTTATATTATGAATATCTCTGAAAATGTTTGCATAATATAAATTCTGGTCATTGTTTGAGAGATATGTGTTACCATTTCTTTTAGTTTTAAGATTCTATCAGCTTGATTTATCCAAAGCACAAGTTACAAGATATGTTCAGCAATTTAACCATGTGTACATGTAAGTGAAAGCATCTATATTTGGAGCTTTATAATAAAGTGTAATAAAGCGAAAGTTCTGTTTTCATTGACTGTACAATGTATTTGATTGACAGCGTATCTGGGATCCTCAGGCAGAAAGCTATTTGCACAAGCACAAAATAATTAGATGTGAGGGTGATCAAATATAGTCAGAGGGAATGTTGACTCGTCATGATGATCCTCTTAAGTAAATTTTGCATGCCTAGCGAATAGGTCAACAATGAAACATTAAAGATGTGGTTTTATTGCATGAATAAGTTTCTTGCAGCTGAGGTCAGCCTTACAAAAAAAAATCAAACACGGATGATTTCATTCACTGATTTGATTGCTGCAGATAGTAGAATAGAATATAGATGGTCTTGTAGAGAAGTAGTCAGTGCAAGAGTTGTGCATTAATGTGTGGTCTATGACTGTCTTGATTCTCTATTGCAGACAATGTAGCAGATGAAGCGATGATGGCAAGATTATCTTACAATGCCACAGAGAGGGCCAAGGAAAACCTTCAACAAGCCAACAAATTCACCATTCCTCAAGTTGCAAAAATTAGCTTCATGTTTTGTTTAGTGGTAAGCTCATTTATCTTACCTACAAACACACACAAAGTACCCATCTTATGGTGTTCATGAAAATGAGGTATATCACTGCTTTAATTACTAATAAGGATATTTGTCACAAAAAGGGTTCTACAAATTTGTGAAATAGTATCTTTTAAAATGTGTCTTTTTGAAACTTTAGTTATTAAACATGTAAGAGGCCGTGCTTCCATTTCAAACTGACTGATTTGCAGGCCTTTCTAAGGCAAGCTATCTTGCAGAACATAGTTCCTTCTGTTTCTAGTCAACTAGCCTAAATTTCATTATTCTGAATGTGCTGTGGTCCCATGACCCAAAGAGTTTGAAGGTTAATTGTCTCGAGGGGTTGTTCGTCAAAGCAGAATTAGATACAGATGTATATACAAGGTTATGTTCGATTTTAGATTACATATTATGATTTTACTTTTGGGACATTTTACTTATTAAAATTGAGAGTAGGGACTTGAATTATGAAACAACCAGATCTTGAAATACTATTGCATGCACTTCTCATCTTCTTCCTCACTTACGAACCCCATAGTGTAGGAAAGTTTTTACAAAAATTAAACAAATGTTTGATTTGCCAAGTCTTATTTACCATGTTTAATACTGCTGTGTCCTTTTAAAATATATGATTTTCTGTTTTTCAGTGGTTCCTTGCCAATTTTTCTTATCAAGAGGCATTGGATGATTCCCAGATGGCCATAGTCAATACCCTTTCATCAACATCAGGTAAGTACTGAGAAAATAGCACTCTGTAGATTGAGTGAAACATCAATAACAAGTAATGTGGTGATTCAAATTGTTGAGTTAATCATTCTGTCAACAGGACCATCATCTAATCAATCAATCATGTATCAGCACAGTCCTTATTATAAATGTCTAATTCATTTGTGTATCCCAACATAACATTGTTTTTTGCCTCTTTTTCATTTAGTTTGCCAAAACAGCAGTCTAAATATCTAAGTACAAGATGGTTCATGTATTGATAAAGTCAATTTAGCGACCACCTGTCTACAAAGACCACATTTTTTTTCTTTTTCCATTGAAAATTGTTTCTCATTGAAACATGTACTATGGGTACCTATACATATAGACCACCTGCCTATAAAGACCACTTTTCTTGTCTCCCTTGTGTGGTCTTTATAGACAGGTTTCACTGTATTATTGAAAGAAAGTCAAAGAAGTATACAGGCCGAAGGGAATATGAATAATATGTTGTCAAAATTATAGCCATTTTTAATGCTAGCAGAAATCTTATCAGTCTTTATGTTAGTGTTAATATAAAGATTTTTATTTCAGCATTTGGTTTAATGATATATCTTGAGGTATGATTGGACATTCCTCTTAATTTGTATTTTCTTTCTCTTCAATCCCTTTGTCTTATTGCATTAGGTTTATTCACAATTATTCTAGCAGCATTGTTTCCTAGTTCACAGGGCGACAAATTCACACTCACAAAATTATTTGCAGTTCTCATAAGGTAAGTCAATACTGAAGTCACGATCACCATGCCAACATTAATGTTTTCTTTAGATTATTGATTGGTACATGTATGCATAGAAGATAAATGTGCATTAAATGTACCTGTACTCTAAATTGTTATGAATTGAGTTCTTGGACAAAAAAGTTCAACATGATCTATATAAAAAACATGTACTTGAACATAATTTTATGAAGAATGAAAATGCAACGGTCTCTTGATGTTCTATGCAATAATCTATTTGTTACTGGGAGACTTGTCTCATTGAAAATGATTTATGTTGTGTACTCTTGTAACTTTCAGACATTTTATCAAACTGAATATATCACAATTGGCCATACAAAGCTTGAACAAATGTTTTAATTCATCAATGACATTACAAGTCTCTCATTTTCTTGCAGTGTTGGAGGCATATTTACGGTCAGCTACTCAGATAGAACTAAAGATAATCAGTTTAAGCTTGGTTCACTCTGGGCTTTAGCAGGTGCTTTCTTCTATGCAGTTTACCTTGTTGCTCTCAAACGAAAAGTGGATAACGAGGACAAGATTGATATTCCTATGTTCTTTGGTAAGTTCCTGCATCATTTTGTTTAAATACAGAGCATAATACTCCCTTATATATTATTATCCTACTGTTAGAATAAATGTAGCATAGCATTCACATTCAATGAATGTTTGATGTTTTATAGACAAGTCTCTGGATCTGTTTAGATTGCTTATTGGTCCAGAATTTAATGTTATTAGCCAATGTTGGAACACCTTTTTATGGTTTAAAAAAATGATTCTAGCCAATATGTAATTTGTTTGTTTTTAAAAGTCAACTATGTTTATGACTTTTTACCATGATTAACACATTATTTTGTTTCCCTTTATTTTTTGTTTTCAGGTTTTGTTGGTCTTTTTAATTTCCTAATGATCTGGCCTGGAATAGTCATCCTGCATTATACCAACATAGAGCCATTCCAACTTCCCAAATCCAACGTTTGGATCTACCTTGCTGTAAATGGCATCGTGGGAACAGTACTTTCTGAGTTTCTCTGGCTCTGGTAAGTCATATTAAATGAAGTGATGCTAGAGTAGATATCCTGTCGAGTTTGTTGGTACATTTTGAAGAAAATGTTAATAACTTGATAAAATATGATCATTGGTTGCTTCTGTAGAGTAATTTGCAAGTACCTTCAGACTTCAGTAAGATAAAACCAACCCATATTAGCACAATAACAGTTCTGTTACCTACAGTACATGGCTGATGGGACTGTACTAGTTTAGACCAGTTAGACCCTGCAATGATAGATAAAGTCCTGTAACTACAATCAGCTCAATATCAGGGCTATATATTTGTACTGTGTGCATGTGTCATCTTGCTGTCTTTTTTTTAATGCAAAGAGCCAATTATTGTGCAGGAACTTGGACCCCGTTCTCACTCACTTCATTGGAGCGCTCTGGAGTGCTCTAACTAAGACCCGCTCCTCAGGAGCGGTTCTTAGGTGAGTGAGAACGCTCAAAGTGGTCCAGGAAGCGGACTTCTGGACCGCTCCAGAAGTCCATCTTCCGAGGTGGTCTTGAGGAGCGGGTCTTATTAAGAGCGCTCCAGAGCGCTCTAACGTGCAATGTGAACGGAAAGCGTACTTTGAACGGAAGTGAGCTAGTGACCTTCGGTGCGAAACATGTAGTACGGTACATACGGTTTGGATTCCGCGCGCGAAAAAATTGACCCGCCTACCTGAGCTGCCATAGCAACAAGACCACTTTGACTCGTGGAGCGGTTTGAGCCATAAAAACTGCTTGGAGTGTGAACGCTCGCAAACCGTTCCTCAAGACCCGTTCCTCTGGAGCGGTCTGGAGCGGTCTAACTAAGACCACTTTCAAAGTGAGTGAGAACGGGGTCTTGGAAATCAGAAGCATATTTTTGTTGAAGCTAAACTATACCAAGTTGAATAGATGAGGGTCTTGTGAAATATTGACCTTCTTCTGTAGAGCTCCTTGTGTTTGAGCCTCTTCTTGCTTAATGACTGGATAATTTTAAATGTGAAAACATAGAATTCAATATATATCCCAAAGTGAAAAAGTAAGTGGTTGTCAATACTGCCTCATTTGTCTTGTGTGATGTTCGTATCTATAGCTTCAAAGGATATGAAATGGATTTCAAAATGTCAGGATATTTTTTTCTCAATTACTACCGTACCTCAAGTTTAATTGGATAGCGTCATGGCTCTGTGTTGTCATGGTATCTGTGAATATTTGCATTTGCTTCCCAGGTACCATGCATTATGTGTTGTGTATTCAACTATACTAGGGACAACCTGTAGTGAGATAGAGAATGTAGGGGTGTGCCAGTCTGCCAGGCCATTGCATTGTTGCTGTGGATTAGGGCTACTTCATTTTGGGCCAGAACAATAGTTGTTGTCTAACATCAGAGGGGAGGTCTTAAATCTTCTTAATCAAGTGTAGTATAAATAGACTGTGTCCTATTGTTCCTGAAGTACCCCAGTGACTTCCAGGTAACAGGGCACTGTACTATTAAAAGTCCACCCTCATATCAAATTGGTTTTAATGAAAGCAGGAAAGTACGAAGAAAAGAAAAAAAAAGGATCAGTGACATTGTATGAAAGTCAAAAAAGATTAAAGAAAGTTTGGAAGTTTTTAAAGCATATTTCATCAATGTCAAATGGCAGCTCAATGATTATTTTATTTATAGTAGAATATGTTTTCCTTTTATATGAAGCAATGGATTATCTTTATCATGAGAATGTGTTAAACATGCCTTCAATAATGTAATGAGGGCACAGGCATGAAATATTTCCTTTGGAGCCAGAAAAATGTTTTACAAAACAAATACAGGGGGCTTCTCACAAGTTGAATTACAAAATCATCAGATTATATTTGATTTACCACAACTTTCATAATTTTTTTTTAAACAGATTTTCATCAAACATTTAGTCCTGTGTTTCCTTCTGTTTTCTGCTTTCATTAAATCAACTTCATGCTAGGATGGATTCCTCCTTTAAATTACCTAGCCCATTCAATTCCCATATTCAACTCACTAATTCTTTCATTTTGTTTTGTTTGACAGGGGATGTTTCTTGACGTCATCACTGATTGCAACCCTCTCTCTCAGTCTCACCATCCCAATTTCAATCCTTGTAGATATCTATTATAATAATGTAAGTCAAATTCATTGTTTGCCTAGTGTGTTATAAATGTACCCATTCAGATTAACATGTCTGTGGCTGTGCACAGGGAAATGAGATTTTCTTCTCTGGTGATCACACGATGTAAACTGAGCAGTGATTGCAGGGTTGTTCTCAGTGGGCTTTTGTAATACTGTAGCTTTTGCATGTATAAAACAGTTTAGTGAAAATACGCATGTATTTTAATTGCTTGAAATTTAAGGCAAAGGATGCCATACCTATTTATTGAATAGAAAACAAGCCATCCTTGTAATTTCTGTATTGTAAAACCATGTGTAAAATACTTTATATTGCAAATTAGTTTTAAGTATGGTTTTTCTATCAATAAAAAATTAGACAAGAAGGGTCATTTCTTGCCCTTTCCTTTGCATGAGGAACATGTTTCACTCATCTCATCTCTATGTCTTCACTTTTTGATACACAGGTGGACTTCTCACTGATGTTCATCCTAGGCTCCATACCAGTCTTTTTCTCGTTTATCGTGGTAGCGATCCTAACCCATTACAATGACTGGGATCCTGCATGGGCTCTCATCAAGAGACTCTACTACTGTTTCCATAGACTAACCTGCCTCTTCTGCACGATATGTTTCATATGCAGAAGGAAAACGCCTCATGTCAGGTAAGCTTCCATCTTTAATTATACCCCGCCCCCATGATATTCCTTCTGAATCTAATTTAGTGTCGGAGTTTAAATATGGCGCCATAAACCATCAGGGGGGGGGGAGGGTAGAGAACGCTTCAGTTCTTTAACTGCACGCAATAAAGTTCCTGTGGCCTTCACTGAGCTCTTTCTCTCTCTCTTTTTAAAAGATACAGATAACTGAAGCATATTACTCTTTCTGTCATCATCAAAAAATGTAAAGAATGCCAAGGTTTTGTCGCGTTGTATCAGAACGGGACTTTACTATGCAGAGGGTCTGTTATGTAATCATAGATGTTTTATCAAGGACCTAGAAACTACTAGTGGTATCTAGTTCCTATCTTTATTTACAGCATCTTCCAGCTCAATATTTTGTTCTTAAATCACAACAGTGTCATTTCTATATCATTTTGACAATGTAATCTTTCTCTGTAGTTGTAGATATTTACATCATACATTTTCTTTTTTAACATTTTAAAAATAGGTTCTATATAGTTATATAAAATTATAAAATTTAATATTTATTTTGTACGCCCTTTTCCACTGAGTCTTCTCAAGGAATTGTTAAAGGTGCTGGGATAATCACCTGATTAGAATGAATCACACTCTACAAGAAGTTCTATTATAAATAACAGCTCTAGTAAAACTTTATATCATGTTGTGCCATTGTGGTAACAGTGATGGTAAACTGACAAAAGGTGGTTCCCCATACATCAGTAAAAAGAGCATTTTTTAAGTTTCCTTTGGATATGCTTTGTATGCAGGTTTGATTAATTTCATCTCTTTCCATTGCTCCCCTTATTAGGTTACCATCATCAGATGATAAAGACCAATCAGAGAGTTTGATAGCCCTACACAGCATGGATGGTAGTGGCAATGCACTGGACTGCTGTTAGAAGCCTCAGATTCTCAAAAGTCGGCTTCACTTCTGTCAGTTCTGCAGGCAGAAATGTATACAAGCTACTTATATGTTGGTTTTCTTATGATCATAGTATAAACAACTATTAGGGGAAAAATTGAATTGGACCATCCCCTGATAAGACCTTGATGTCTTAATTATCCATTACAGTCAAAATGTGTATTACTTGGAAGGTCCTGATGACCAACTTCAGTATTGTATTATCTATATTAAAATCAAGCTAATAATAATAGTGATTTATGATTATTTTGAAGGAAAGAAATTTAAAGACTAAGATTTAGTTTAAGAATGAAACATTAGTCATTTGATGCTGGTGTTCTAGTTTGTTTGGATTGTCATCCATAGTTTAATAGGGAGGTTTGAAGCCTACCCGGTAGCAATGTTGACCGTTGAGAAGAACTGCCAGTAGGGATAAAATGACGATATGACAGGAGATTTTAGATTGACAAGTTTTAGATTCATTCCAGTTTTCCTGTTCTTGTTGTGTTGGTGCCGATAATTTGTTCATAGTTATGGTAATCCGAGTTAAAAACCTACAACATTCTGACAGTAATACAGAGTGACATAAAAGCAATAATTATTGGTTCAAAATGTTGCCACTTAATGATAAATTACTTCTGATGTAGTTACAGATCTAGTTGCTATGATGGAAGATTGAGCAGATATGCTTTTCACATGGTTGGCATTGTCACTCTTTCAAAACAAGTCTTTGGACATTCATCTCTCTGATCTGACAATGTCAACCATGTGGAAAGAATATCTGCTCAAACTCTCACTGTAGCAACTTGATCTGCACAGCACATTTTAAAGTATTTTACCATTTATTGACAAGATTTTGAACTAATAATCATTGCTTTTATGTTATTCTACATTATTATTATTATTGTCAGAATGTTTTAGGTTTTCAATTCGGATTACCATAATTATGATAAAATTATCAACACCATTACAACAATAACAACAAGAACTAAAATTTGTCCATCTGAAATCTCCTGTCATATTGTCATAACATCCTATTAAATAGAAATTGTGCAGTTGAAATACAACTCACATTTCCAAGGCACCTTGATTTTTGTAAACCAAAAATAATGTTAGGACTTTTATTTGATTTCTTGAGTTGCATTCCGTCAGCAGACTCAGAAGGGGTCTGTATGTATGTCATTATTTATTAGAGAATGGATTCAGAAATATCTGCAATCGGATTGGTTGAGAATAAGAGCCAGTGAGCAGAATTGAATTTTACTAACTGCATAAATTATACATGAATAAGTTGCGATATTAGAGATCGATATCGAAATTAAAACAGTAGCTTGTCGATATGGTGATTGTGAAACAGCCACAATATTTGGCTGCATGGAAACAAAAAATGACAAGAGGAAACTAATACCGTAATAAAGATAGCTGACTGATTCTGCAGGTAAGCTCTATACAAATTTGGGTTGGATTTTGAAAATAACTCCCTGGCATTGTTCTCGATGACATAACTCTGTAGTGAAAGTTAAGTTCTAAGCATGAAGCAGCTACTCTGGACTATTTTTCTGCATCCTTGAAAATTGGTTTCGTGCATCTGTTGAAAATTGCATGCATCCGGTAAATCAGTTTCATGCGTCCGGTAAATTTTCTTCTTTGACTTGGAATCGGGCAATATATATTTTTTACGCCCATTCTATAAAACAGATGATGCACAATTTTTTTTGTGGGTTGGTAGAATAGTGTGCATGCGGTAACTTTGGCGTAGTCTTAAACACACTCCACTACACCTCGTTAGTTTAAACCATACCCACAGTTACCTTGTGCACATGATTCCTACGGACCCATTCATACCTGCGCATCATTTGTTTACTACATGCTTCACAAACTTACTGGTAATGTTTTGTATGAAACATCTTCAAATTTTGTCATTTGCAAAGTTTACACTTCTCAGCAGATGATTGATAGTGTAATAGTTCCACCCATTTTTATTTTGAAATAAGGAAAGAGAGAAGAATGACATCTCAGCAAATTTCTCATATGAATATGATTCATCTCAAAGTATGTGGTGTGCTGCAGTGGTGTTAACATTCAACTGATTTATTGCTAAATATTTTCTAAAGGTATGTATGAAGCTGATATGAGGTACTATTTGTCATTGGTCATTGTAAATATCATATATTGTCAAATACAAATCATTGTGTGCTTTTGAATGTATAGTCTATCATTGGAAATATTTCTACAAAAATATGATATATATTAAGAGAAATTTCTGAAATATCAAATCTACCTAATTTCTCTATTTGTATATAAATCTATACTTGCATTTCTTTTCTGGTAATGCATAGCTTAATGTTGCATTGGAAAATGTGTGTATAAAAAATGTAATTAATTTAATTTGACATGTATATCTTTGTACCTCTCTGTTAATATTGGCAAAACATAAATTGGTATATTTTGTATGAATCTGTATATAATTGATCAGAAACTAAAACTGATATATATATATACAAAAGTCTAACTATTGAAAGTAATTTTTTGTCATGTGCAAATCAACTGTAAGTGAAAAGATCTTAAATTTATTGATTGAATTTTGTGTCAATCCTGGAAACTTTGTTTTAGTTCATCATTAATTTCATAAGAATAAAAAAAGGATGAGGTAAAACATGGATGTGTAAAAGGTAGAAAAATGTAAATTGTGAAAGATGATTGACCAGGTTTATCATTTCTCTAGGATGATAATGATGATGATAACTTTCTGGAAACAACAAATTGAGAGTATATATTTAGTATACCTGGAAATTAAGAATAGAAAGAGAACTGTTTTCCCCCTTTTGTTTTGCTGTTGCAAAGTATGGATAGTGGAAATCAAGTGGACAGCCAATGTTCCACAGTTAAAAGCTCAACTGTAATTTCCTCCGGGGAGTAATCTTATGTTTAAATTTGAAATTATTTTCTACGTATGTTTCCTTTTTTGCTTTAACTTTGTCTTATATTTTCTATCATTTTTTATTTCAAGTGCCTGTGGCATATTAAGCCTGGGAGTGCTTTCATGTCAATTATAGGCTACAATCATGGTGCTTTAGACATTATACATTTGTTGTCTTATTTAGTTATTTGTTGAAATATTAATATGAAAATGATTTAATCTGTATGCTGTTCAATATTTCTTTATACACCCAGGGAAAATCAAAACCAGGTATCAAATTTCAAGCTTCTTATGCTATATATAAATTGGTGAGTGCAATACAGTGCTAACTCACAGTGTGTGTCTTCTTTAAAGACATGCCAATTATTAATAGGCTCACAACAACAAAATAGAGGATTATAAGGTTTCAGCACCAGTTAATCACCTTTCGGTTTGAATCTAAATGAATATATTAAATTTTAAGGTAGTTGACAAGGATATTTTTAATACATGGAATCATTTTGTTTAGATAAATATGAGATTAGCACTGTCTTGCACTGACATTATGTATATGTACATAGAGTTATGTATATAAGCATTTATCGTCTGCTTGGAGCCAGGGTCCCATTTCATAAACCTTGTTATCAATAACAAATGCCACAGATCTATCACAAATCTGCTCACAATCAATCAAATGTAAGGATTTCAGTAACTTTTTCTTTTCTTGTTCTTGATAACAAGTTTTATGAAACTATTATACACAGAGCTAATGCTCTTATGGCTCAAAACCAACGACATGACACGACTAGTCTTGTCCAAGAAGTTTGTGTGACCCTAATCTATGTCTAAATCACTGCTTTTTGTAATTCAAATGTCAATACTATTTTTGATAGCAAGAACATGTTATCTAGACAAAAAAAAAGCCATGTTTCAGAAAGTCCATACAAGTTATGCAATGTTATGTAATGTTTTGTTAATTTTACATTTTATGTTTGTATTGTTTCACTTCCTTTAATATTTTTGTTCTTTCATTGATGCGAACTATGGAAGCAATTACAAGAGAAGAAAACAGATTGAGAGTTAGTGCTTCTTTATTTTGTGCTTGGTTAATGTGACAAGGATTAAAATAGATATTGTTTGCATCATGCATGGTGTTACAGGTCAGGATGTGCTCAGTATTAAAAGTTATCTAGACAGCAGTAGCATTATAAAAATCGAATTGTGAACACGGTGATGACTTTATGACATTGGGTTAAGGGGTAATAAGGTACTATTTAACTATTGAATGTACTTTTGAAAGAAGAAAAGTCATCCAAGAGAAGAAGGAAAGCAATGCACGTATTATGTACATGGCAACAAACGTACATATATAAAGATCCATCTCAGTTATGATATTTATGACTTCGAGTTATTTGTACAAATAATTTGGTACAAATAAAACTATCATTATTATTGACAATAAGGATTTCCCTTATTCAATGTTCTCCACTTTTCTTTTAAAAATATGAATGTCATTTATTACATTCAAAGCAAAATTGATAAACTGTCAACTACTTAAAATATTTTTTTTTTAAAGTTGAATGGCATCCAGTATAATGTTTTATAGGGGCTGTCAAACTCTTAAAGTAACCATAACAAAATGTAGATATATCAAGTTAATCACTTCCAAGTATGGAATCGTATTAATCTGGATGATCTAGCCTTGGACATTCATTCCGGTCAAGATTCAAGCTGTGTCTTTCCTCAGTTTCGGTGCCGAAGTGATATTATTAGGACACATGGAAATTTATCTTTGAGTGATACAATGTCCGGTTAATAAAGAGAAAATTTCGCCACATTATGAATAATCTGGAACACTTGAGGAATGAATAATCAAAGAGAGAGAGAGAGAGAGAGAGAGAGAGTGGTGAGAGAAGGGAAGAAAAGGAGACAGGGAGTTGCTCAATAGTTGTGCAGTAATCCCAAACAGCAGCTCCTTAGAAACTATACGGGGATGATCGAGAGGTGAGAGAAGGGAAGAGAGAGAAATATGGAGAGGGAGAGAGGGGTAGAGAGAGAGCGAGAGAGAAAGATGGAGATCGAGAGAGAGAGAGAAAAAGAGGTGGGGAGAGATAGAGTGCGTGTGAGCTGGGGGGTAGGGATCAGGAGAGGGGAACCTATATCACAAGGTAGTTTTGCTGGTTCCACTTGTTCTTAATCTCTTATTTTTCGTCCTTGTATTCAAGATTTCAGTCATAGTTGTCATAACGAGACTCCGCTTAATATACTAGCTCATGATGAAAATGAGATAGCATAATTAAGAATTGGAGAGCTAGAGTTGAGAACAAAAAACTTGTGAAGAAGTAAGTATCATCCATTTGCTGCAATAATGCTCGTAGAATAGTACTTGCTTTAATTTACAGGCCCACTGCACTACTTGTAGCTACTTGCGCCCTCCATATAACAAACAATGCCTAATCGGTGACCATTGGTCCCCCATGATCCTCTTTTTCTTATAATTAACTGAGAGCTGAGTTGATGAGATAACCAGCTGTCCAGTGACCTTGCAGGGCAGTCTAATCCCTCCTGTAAACTACGGCAGATAAGCTTTAAGATATTACTAATTATTATATCATAAAAAGAACAAATAGAGTAGTATACAATTCATTCTCTAAAATAAAAACTGGCATTAGCAGTTTCTAAGAGTAGGCGGAGCCCTAAATATCCAATTCGTAGTTTTTTTTTTTTTTTTTTTTTTTAAATGATATTTTATTTCCTTCCTCACAATTTCACATAACAAGAAATTCACATAACAAGAAATTATCAAGATAAGCAATATAAAACAAGATCTTTGATACAAGACATTTCATAAGTTACATCAATCAATGAACATAGAGAAAAAAAAAGGAAAAAAAAAGTCTTGCATGTAACAGTGAATAATCAAAATAACAGTAGAGGAAGGTTTAAAATTACATATTACCATCCTATCACAACACTCTCACACCCCCCCCCCTCCCCTCTAGCCCACCCACACCACCTTTCACCACCTTTCACCACCTTTCACACACATAAACACACATACAAACACAAACACACACTGCATGCAACCTGTTCCCTCAACTCACACCACACAAACTCTTAACCCCCCCCCCCCCTAGCCCACCCATCTCATCATACCCCCTTCACGCCGACACACACACTGCATGCAACCTGTTCCGGTTTGTCCACCTGTACACGAGAGAGAATTAATAATACTACTAATAATAATAATACCCACATCCATTAAAGTAAAAATGCATCGATTTGTTCCCTTTTCTGTAAGTGCATCCCCAGTTTCCCCTTTTTGAAGGCTATTTTGTATTCCTCGTCTCTGTAATTTTTAAGCATATGTACTGTTTTCTGTACAGATGGCAAAGTTCCTTCTTTTCTAGAAATAAAAATGATATACTTTACTAAAAATATGATACAATTTATTACAAATATTCTCGCAGTATTGCCGGATATTCCCATAAAAATGGGTTTCCAATCATCAATGTCAATTTCGATTAAATGTAACTTTTGAATTACCTCCTGCCATAATCTTTTAACTTTAAGACAATCTAAAAATAAATGTTGGTATGTCTCTACTTCTAGTCTACAAAAGGAACAAAAATGGTCTGACTCAAAACCAAATTTAAAGAGCTCTCTTTTCGTATATACAGCCCCTTGTAATTGTTTGTATTGAAACTCTCTATGTTTATTACAAAGCATTGCACATTTCATCCTTGTGAATGTTTCTTTCAACTCCGTCATTCCAAGATCAAATTGACAGTTGCCATCTGTAACATGTAATGTATACTCTTTTTGAAGGTCTTCAATGAAGTAATCATATAACCGCCTGGATTTTATATCACATAGTTTCTGTAAACGTCCAAATATCATCAATTCTATTTCAAAATTTTCAGTGTCCACTTCCATAAAATCACTTTGTATCCAATCGTTTCTAATTGCTGAAAAGATCTTTTGAATTCTAAGCAAGCTTTTAGTTTCAAAACCCAAATTTAAAAAATGTAAGATCGGTTTTAAATGACCTCTGACAATTATATCTGATGCTTGAAGTATACCTTTCTGAAATAGTTCGACATCAAAAAATGTTTTATTGCTGAGACAAATACACTTGTTGCTAAATATAATCGGATTATTCTTATTTTCTCCAAAGTGTCTGCATTTATCTAATTCTTGCCATGCCTTCAACATGTCTTTATAAAAAGATGGTATACCCTTCAAGTCCATTTTATTTATATCATAATTACAAAGAAATATAATTCGACCCCCCAGTGATCTGAAAAAGTGGTCAAAGGTTACTTTCCAACCTGAATACTTTTCTCCATAGAGCAACCGTTTGATCCACATTATTCTCTGAGTCTTGATAAATATCTTAAAATTCGTTACTCTGAGTCCCCCAGCGCAATAATCTTGATATAATATTTTCCGTTTTATTCTGTCTCTCCCTCCCCAAATAAAATTAAAAGAAATCTTTTCGATTTCTTCAAAAATGTTTTGTGGGACTGTCATAAGAGACGAAACATAATTTAGTTTTGAAAATACATATATCTTCAACAATTTAATTTTGCCAAACATCGTTAAATCTCGTTGCTTCCACCAACCGATTAGTCTTTTGATTTTGCTCAAAATTTCCTTATAGTTCAAATCATCTTTTATTTTGGAATGACGTGCGAAATATACCCCTAGGATCTTTATATGTTGTACCCTATGTCCAAAAAAAGGTAAACCCGGCCTATCACTTTCCTCTCCTAACCACATAAAATTTGTCTTATCCATATTTATCTTCAACCCACTTAATTTTTCAAAGTTTTTGAAAACTTTCTTCACTTTATTAATTGAATCCATATCTTTTAAAAACAATGTAATATCATCGGCATACAAAACTTGCTTTATTTCTTTATTCCCGAATCCTACCCCTTTAATGCTCTCATCTTTCCTAATATAACGAGCTAGTAATTCGATAACTATTACAAATAAATATGGAGATAGGGGGTCACCTTGTCTTACCCCTCTATTAATTCCAAAATATCCTGTTGAGTGTCCCCCGTTCATCACGCAACTGCTAACATTAGTGTAGAGGGTTTTAACCCAAGAACACAAAACTTTACCAAACCCGAACTGTTCCAAAGCTTTAAATAAAAGTTTATGGGAAATGCAATCGAAAGCCTTTTCAAAATCTACGGCAATTAAAAAGCCTACAGGCTGATACAAGGACTGAAAGAATGTATCATCAATTAACCGAACCGCTTCCCCAATATTCCGATCTTTAACATAGCCCACCTGATCGTAATGAATAATATCCTCCAATACCTCCTGCAAGAATATCATATTTGCCGACATTTTGCACCACTGAAAAATCCTCTTTCTTTTAACTCTATCTCTCAGTCCTCTGACATTAATTGAGAGTAATTTTAAATTAACCGACATCAAGAACTATGAATCTATATCTGTAACAAAAAACCTTTAGAAATGTACATAGTGGTGACAGTTTCACAGTAGATGGGAAGCTTGATGCATTTCCAACTCTAGGAAAAACAAACGCTTTCAAGTTAGATTGCAAATTAAACAAGTACAGGCAGACATCGGAACCGGAGAACATACCACACATACCATCACCCCACCCTTCAACACTATCAACCACATTCATACACATAAGCATAATATATGCTGGCATGTTCGAAACCCCTCCCATCACTTATTCTAAATCATGGCGTGGCAGCCTTTTACACAAAGTATTAATACAGTCTTCTTACTGTGACAAAAAAAAAAAAAAAAAAACCAACACCGAAAATAAAACAGTAACTCCAGACGATATAACTTGACCTCATAATTAACGGATTCAGATAATGTGTAACTAATGATACTTTAGCCCCAGGCTCAAACGGCTATATATAATATTTTAAAAGAAAAAAAACGTAATAAACGAACGTAATAGATAAACCCCGTGCATACTTTAAGCTTCAACAGCTTGTACCCCACCAAATGGCTTTCGGTACCATTATAAACTTTACAGTATATAAGGAGTTCTTTTTTAAGAAAACGAATTAAT